CCGATGTGAACCGGCGCACGTCGAAGGATGAGCCAATGCTGGGCCTCCCTCTTTGGCTATCGGCGTTGGATGTGACGGTTCTTTACAAGCACCACGAAGCCACACAGTTGCTTGTCGAAGCAAGAGCTGACCTTGAGGGCGGAACCGCTCCAGCTGTCCTCGCGGCGGCTTACGGAGACAATCCAGAAGGTATACGGGTGTTGTGTTCGGCAGGTGCCAGCCCACTGGCCCGGAACCTTCTTGGTTTCACCACCTACCAAAATGCAGCAACCTTCGGAGCCAAAGCAGCGTTAGAGGAGCTTGTGATGCAGACTCCCCCGGCCTCGATGGATCTTTCTCGAGCACTCATCTCTGCTGCAGCATTTCGGGGTGGCTCGGCAGAGCTGGTGCAGCGACTCATCGCCCTTCGTGCCGATGTCGACATCCAAATGAATGTGGCACACGACATCGGCTCGGTTGGCCGGCTGCTTTTTGCAGCGAAGTCTTTCCAGCATTGGCTTGGCCATAAGACAGGTCTGACGGCTCATGCCTATCACTTCCATGGCAGCACGCCGCTGATGCAGGCCATCCAGTCGGCTCAATTTGAGGCTGCTGCAGCCCTGATTCTGGGCTCTTGTTCAGGAATTTCGTTTAAGTTGCCATGATAGAGGAACCATTTCATTTACGATGGATCCCTAGTATGGTAACTTATACCCTTGACGAAAGTATTCTGGGTTTACTATAGATCCCTATTACGGTAACTTAAAACCTAAACCCTACCCTTAACAAGAACCCAGGATTGCGGCCGGCGCCAGACTGGACCTCCGCAATGGCCGGAACTGGACAGCGGCGGATTTTGCTCTAGGCCAGACGATCCCTGACTTTATAAGGCTTCCTTGTCATAATTGGGTAACATTTTCTAGGTGGGGCTTTGGGACATTTTATATTTTCCCTTATTGGGCTTAAGAGGATCTTATTTACTATTTTATGGGCACTTAAACCCAATAAGGAATAGATTTTTTTGTACATCCCAACCATGAGCGAGGCTTGGCCTGCAAGGCGACCCGTCGGAGTGCCAACGAGTGTCCTTACTTGCACAGTCGCAAGACTACATTTCGATTTGACTTTTGACGGCAACGAACGTTGCCAAGTTGCCACTTTCAGGCTATGAGTTTAATTTAATAATTCTCGCGATTTTCGAGGTGACAGAAATGTCCCTAAATTGGTGAAGGCAAGGGCACACTGAATTGTGTCCATGCTTGCTCAGTCGATCGACTACATCGCCTTTTGATTCCGAGCAGGGTTGTGCCAAAAACATGTTTTGAGTTTAAACTCTTGAGCATTTCGGGGGCTGAGACTGTTTAAACAGAGTTGGGTTCTGTGAGCCCAAACATCATTTTTTGGGTTGGATATCAACCCTGTTCGCTCACTTAAAGGTAGGATTTTGCGAGATCAGAATCTTATGGTTTTGTTCAGGTGTTCTACCCTCAATCGACAACTGCACAGTTTGTCCTGATCGATGCCCAGTACATCCTAAGCCTGAGCCCTACATCCTAGCCCCTGGCTCCTAAACCCCTATTCATCCATATACCCGACACCCAAAGTTTCAATCAACCCTAAACCCTAGAAACCAACAGACTTAAAACAAGAACTCCTAGAAACTTTAAACCTTAAACCATCTTAACCCCCAAACCCTAGACCCTAAACCCCTAAACCCTGAACACTAAATCCCTAAATCCTAAACCCCTAAACCCCAAAACCCTGAACCCTAAACCCCTAAACCCTAAACTAAGCGAAAGGCCGCTCTCAGCCAGGTCGAGCGGATTGTTCCCATCATCTTCTCCACCTGAGTGAGATCCTGCGGAGATTCAGGATGTAATATACGCAGACCCCCAGGAGGATCTAGAAAGTAGATCCCCTAATTTGGGGCCCTATACTACTAAGGGTACTTTCTAGGAACCCCCATTAACGGATCCACTTTTTGGATCCTCCCGGGGGTCTGGGTAGTGGCCTCAAGGAGTCGTGTGGGTTTTGGGGTAAGTACAATATACTTATGCCATAGGTAAAGTCAGGAAACCTACGGAATAATATTAGTACATACCCTAAACCCTAAACCCTAAACCCTAAACCGTTAGCAGTTGTGTTGGTTCCGGGCTTTGGGGTTTCTAGGACTACGCATAGGTCGTTTCGGCTCAGGATGTAGCGGACACGGAAAGTCGAGATTGTTAGTTTGTGGACATTCCTGGAAACGGATTAGGGTTTTCGGTTCAGGGTTTCGGGCAAAGTGTCGCGTGCAATGTCGCACCATTCGGGTGGCTTTAGCAGTAAACACGACTTTGTCCCGTCTCCCTTTGGTGCGCAAAAGCCTCTTTCCAAGCCGTCGACACCTGACATCCCAGGGGTTAGCACGATTACATGCTTCAGGTACATGTACCCACCTATTGTAGATACATTTTGTATATATATATATATATATATATATATATATGCACATACACATATAGGAAGAATAGTAGAGACCATTGTAGGACCTGTAAGGTTTCAGTGTATGCTGCACTGCAAAGCTACATGGACGCTTTTTGGTGGAGGATAGCATGTTCATTATTCTCATTAGTTTTGGGCCAGGTTTGGGTTTGGGGTTTATGGTATAGGGTTTAGCCTAAACCCTAACCCTAAACCAGGATTCAGGGTTTTGGGTTTAGGGTTTAGGGTAGGGTTTAGGGTTTAGGGAGCCAACAGCATCACCAGTCATCTCGATGAGGCTTCTTACGGGTTTAGCAACTTTCATCTCCCAAGCGAGGAGAAAGCCTTACTCAGAGATCCCTGAGACCTCGCAAGCCCTGTAATATGGGGGCCTTACTAAATTACCTGAATTTGTTTGGGGTTCCTTAGTATAACTAGCCCCCAAACCCTATTCTGATTATTAAGGCTCCTATAGTCATCCTTCGAGCTTGCGAAGTCGAAAAGTACTGCCACGGCTCTGCACATCACCGAAGAAGGGGGTATGGCACAAAGATGCCGTAGCACCCATTCCGACAGTACAGATTGCACCTCCATGCACTCATGGATGTTCAAGGAGTCCCGGCGCACAAAAAGCTGAGTGAGATTCGGCTTCTGTTTTGGGTTTAGGGTTCGGGGCGTCGGGCTCAGGAACCCATAAATGCTTGCAAACCTTGCTCGTCAGGGAATTGTTACTTCCATCGCGTCTGGACATCCTCGTCCGAGGTCCGAATGTCTTCTTGTGCTGCAGCGTTCTTGAGCTGTAACGTGTAATCACCTCCCTACTACACATAGATAGCTGAAGGGAGCTTGAGCTGTGTTGCGGCTGCGCTTGCTTAAACTAAACCCTAAGCCCTGAACCCTGAACCCTGCCCAAAACCCACAACTCTAACGCCCTAAACATCTGAAGCCTCGCAAATCCTTAAGCTCCAGGCGCTCAGCTGGATGTGGCAACACATTTAGTAGGATCCGTTTTGTTATTTTTTGTGTTTCTGGGTCTTCCTATAGTATCACTAGTCAACTATAATCCTTAAAAGGTATATACTGTCTCCAAGTGGGTTACTGAACAGCCTAGATTAGAGCAGACCTGCGTGCTTTCCCACTCACCCTCCTACGCAGGAGCTTCTTAGGCTGATTAACAGCAGAGGGTCTTTATCACTCCGACTAACGCCACAGACTTTTCGCGCGAAACCTTAAATCCAACCTAAATAGCAGGATCCACACCGTAAAGGGCCCCGAAGTCAGGAATCTGGATCCTGAACATCCCAAACCCTGCACACCAATTAAAAGCTAAACCCTACTTGGAGGTCCATGGGTAGTTATAAGTGGGGTTATAAGTCCCCTAAATATGGGTTTTAATTATGGTTACCCTACTTATAACCCTACTTATAACTACCCATCTCCAAGTAACCCCCAGAGTTCATGGAGCCTCCTGTTGGAATGCGAGAAGAAACCGCAGCTCTTGGGACCCCGCCGGCGTGGGGTGGGGCATCACACCCCAGCCGGGCCCTCTTTTTCGGAGCCCGGGACCGAGATACGAGTGCTTAGGGCTCAGGGTATGAGATAGAAGCGTGAGTAAGTAACAATATAGTAGTTAGAAAGTTAGAAATCACAGAATAATAACAGTAATAATCACCATGATATGAATAATAAATGACAACAGCAAATAATGATAATAGCAGTAATAAACAACATAGTGATATGTAATAAGCACTGTTTCTTAGGGTTCCTAACTCCAAAACCCTGTCCTTATATGCGGAGACCCCTATATCAGAGGTTTCGGAAATGGGTTCAGGGCAGGGTTCCGGGTCTATGCTATAGGCTGTCAGGCTTTCTGAGTAGAGCGATCACGGTGTCTGGTATAAGATTTGCGGGATTGATTTCGGGGAAATGGGGTTGAGGTAGAGCTACATACACTTTCTATGCACAGTCTTCATGCGCCTTCCGGCCTCTATTGGGTGAGACGCAGCGGTGCTCAATTGTACACATGTCATGTGTCCCTAAACCCTAGTTTAAAAACCCAGGAATGCTCCGAAGTAGGCTTCAGGTTCCTATAAGGGCAGTTGGTTGTTCCATGCGCAAGATCCTCAACAGACAAATGACCTCCAACTGCGGAGGGTTGCGTTGGATGCTCAACCCGTATACAGCCTACCGCCAAAGGAGCCTGGCCTGAAATTCTAAGCCTTGGACCCTAACCCTATAAGCCTAAATAAATCCTGGTCCCTGAACCCTTATAAGTCCAGCACCCCGAAGCCTTTAATTTGGAACCCTGGTAGGTTTTCGCACCTGCAGTCGCAAACCCTGAGCCACTCGCAAACCATGTGTATTTTCCTTTCACTCTGCAGCTTCGGACATCGAACTCCAAGCCCTCTACCCGGAGCCTCCAAAACCTCTAAAGTAAAAAACAGATACCTTAAATGATGATAGGATCCCTGATATGATTTAAGGTATAATCCTTAATTGAGGGGTTTCGGAGGCTCTGGGTACAGCTGCAACCAAGGCCTCCTGGGTTGTGACAGGGCATGGCAACACGAACGATATTGCAGCCGCCCTCTGGTTGCATTTCTGGACTTGGCGTGAGTTGGGCTCTCGTCATGGAGGAGTGTGTTAATTGCCCAGATAGAGATGTAAAGTAAATACTATCATTGGCATAATTTACATGGTTTCCTACGATCCAGCGCATGTCCTTTCAGGGTCTGCAGGTTAGGGCTTTGGGCGTTGTGTAGGTTTAGCATGTAAGGTTTTTTCTTGGAGGTTCGTGCATGGGTAGTTATTACAACTACATCTCATGTTCGGGGACTTCTAACCCCATTTATAACTACCCTAGACCCCTAAACCCTCAACCCTATAGAACCCTTGGAGGAACCCTTAAAGAAGCCCTATAGCCCCACTTATGCCTACCCATGATACCTCCAAGTAGACCGTAGAGTCTCGAAGCAGAGCCCCAAACTCAACCCCGTGGGTCCTAATATAGGACCCTTAGGCTCCTTTATAGTAGATACTTTTGGGTTTAGGGTTTAGGGTTTAGGGGTTTTAGGGTTTAGGGTTTAGGGTTTAGGGTTTAGGGTTTAGGGTTTAGGGTTTAGGGTTTAGGGCCCCAAAGTAGTCCCTATATAGGTACTTTAAGGCCTAAGTATCTACTATAAGGGTACATGGAGCCTTCCAGCCTTGTCCTTCTTCATGGTTCCCCCCAAAAGAATAAACAGACAGGCTAGTAGACCTTCTTAACTAATTCCTACTAAGGGATATAGGTACAGGGCTCTGTCTATTATTTCTAAAAGGACAATGGTGGATAGGAACCTGGTTAAGAAACCCTGGGCCTAAGACTCCAAAGTAGTAGGGTTCATATATGGAGCCCTAATAAAGGCCCGAGGTTTCTTAATCAGGTTCCTACATTATGGCCAAATTCTGGGCTCTGTTGAGTGTTGAGGGCGGGGTGTGGAATTACCGCAGGGCGTCAGGATGTCCAGTCGTAGTCTAGGTAATTATGCCGTCTGGACACAAATCGTGTTTCCGGGAATCGTTTCCAGGTTTTGCGGATTGCATTTCTCCGCTTTGGGGTTTCGCGCAGGATTGGGCTCTGAGTGTTGTGATGCGGTGGTGCGATGCTGCGAATGCTGTGGTTTACAGGGTTACAAGTCTCAAGTTTCGGATTTGATTTTTCGAGATTCGGGTAATTGTCCCTCAGCGCGAAGACCCTCAAGTAACGAAGAGAAATGGCCTCACTAGTTGGCAGAGACTTGGGTCTCACTGCTGCGACGGGACTCCCAATTCAACCCCTTAGCGGGGCAGATGACCCGAGCCCTCGAAGATTCGAAGACCAAAGACCTGAGCTAAGGAATCGGGCTTACGATCACATCTATGCCCGTGCCTCAGAGCTCCGAACTGCGGACTGTTAAGGTGCCCAAAGGCTCCATGTACCTTTATTTTAGATACTTAAGCCTTAAAGGGGTCCCTATATAGGTACTTTAAGGCCTAGGTATATACTATATGGGCACATGCAGCCTTAGGGGTGCTTGCTGAGTAGAAAATCAGAGCATTGGGGTCTCACGCAGCATCGCGATTGCATGCTGAGCTGCTGCATGAGTATATCATAAGTGTGAGTGTACCTCAGAATGTACGATTCATGTACACATTCGTACATACATACATGCACTACTGGAACCTGGCGTTTAGCCGCTAGAACTCTGATGGACAAGCTCCTGGATCTCCCGGGCACAGTTCCCCCTTGTATTTGTGAGCTGCTTGAGATGCGGAATTCAGGCACTCATCTTCATCTGGTGGGGATTCAGGTGAGAGGACGGCAGATGAAGTATGTTTGTAGCACATTAACCTCTTGTTTTTCAACCTAAGCTAAACTTTGAAGTTCAATACAGGGCGTCTAATTGTTCAGACCCCTACATGAACAAAAAACAGCCAATACTAAGCATCATGAACCCAAAGATTCGCTGCATAACCACGAGTAGAATATACTCGGCTGGGGTGTCATTACAAAGAAGTCTTCTCATTGACAGCAGGCAGGATATCCTTCTATCCGTTCTAGTCCGTGGAATTGGGTATGGGAAACAGGCTTCCGCGTCACAGTCCATTAACGATCCACCAAACGCGAGGAGTCTCTTGGCCTTGAGAGATTCAGAGTTTGGGGTCGCTTCGAGAGGAACATGAAAAGAGAGGAAATAGTCCAATTCGTAGGATACCCCAACCGCTGCTGCTGCACCTTGAGGATCCGGTCTACACGACCTCTCACGCAAATGACCATTACCGGCAGACCAGCAAGGCAGATCCGGGATCATACGGGGGGGCTTCATAATTACCAATACTATTTTGGGTGTTCCTTATTATAATTACAGGATCACGGTCCCCAAAAGCCTATTCTAATCATTAAGGCCCCGATATTAGGCTTCAGGGTCCCGGATTCAGAGGGATGCTGGGATTTGGGCTCAGGGCTTGAGCTTTGGTGAGGGTTTTTTGGGTTTAGGGGTTTAGGGTTTAGGGTTTAGGGGTTTAGGGGTTTAGGGTTTAGGGTTTGCGCGCGCTTGGGGTTTTCAATCCTAAATCAAAGTCCACAGCTCCGGCGCAGTGACTATTTCAGGCTCAGTGCTCCCACTGTGCACAGCCTTTGGTAAGAAGGGCTAGGGCATGTAATACGGGAGTCGGAATAATTTCGGAACAGAAACCACTTACAGTCCCTGCATAGCCCTACTGCAGTACCTTTATGAGGTCTGTGTCGAGGAGTTCGGATAGGGGGAGGTTCTACAGTAGGACTTATAATAAGAACCTACAAAAAAGTAGGGTTTGTTAGGTTAAGGTACATGCTGATCTGTGTAGGGCATGCGTTGAGCCCCAACCTGAAGCTGAGTGCCACTTCGTGGCTGCTGCATCGAGTAAACCCCTGCGGATCCACCCTCAACTGGTTGTACATAAACAGAAAGGTTCCATGCACCTTTAAAGTAGAAGCTTAAGCCTTAAAGGGGTCCCTGTGGGGGTAAGGCCTACGTATATACTAAATGGGTCTTAAATGGGTCCCTATATAGGTACTTTAAGGCCTAAGTATATATACTAAATGGGTACATGGAGCCTTAGGGAAAGCCCTACAAGGACTCCGCAATTTGCTTCTTATACAACACCCGGACTCCTGGTCAGGGCCTTGCATTTCTGCATGTATTGCTGCCTTCGCAACCCTGAACCTTTTAAACCGGAAACCTAAAACCGACACCCACAAGTTGAGCGTATCGCATATGCTCTAAACATCCCTAACCCTATACTTTACCCACTATTTCTTGCTGCCGCTGCAAACCCTGAGCCGTGAACCCTAAACTCCCTATACCCTACCTAGACCCCCCCAACTCCCCTTAATTGTAGCCCCAAGTTGCCTCACAGTACATCCACTCTTTGTACTGCCCTGCACCTTAACGGAACACCCTAAATGATATGAGCATTTCAGACCCTACAACCCTACAGCCCCTAAACTGACAACCCTGAACCTTACAGCTACCATGCATTGAGTCCTTGTGCAACCCTAAGCTCCATAAGCCCTAAACTCCTCAAGCCATATACCTATATCGTATGACGTACGACTGCCTCTGCACCCTTAAGTTCATGTTACAAGCCCGATAAACCCGAAGCCGCAACCCTGTGAGCGCCAACACAGCCACCATGTACTACATCCTTTTTCGGCTTCGTCCTGGCAAGGCGATGTTCAATGCCCAGCGCATTGAGCGAGTTTGGGCGCTCAGCAAGCGGATTTAGGGCTCCGGGTTGCGGTTTAGGGTTTAGGTTAGGAGTAAAGCGTACAAAGTGTGTAGGCTCGCGGCTTTGTGCTTATAGAGTTTCACTTCATGGCTGTAGCATGTGGGGATGTGGGACAACCTCTAAGATCAAAAGGCTGAAGCGTGGATGAACCCAGCAGGATAGGTGCGCCCTCTATGCCTTACTACAAGGACATGAGGATATGATCCAACTTTCCAGCAGCTAACGGACTGAAGGGACCCTTACAAAAGGCCCTTTAAACATTAGAATCCGTCTTACTAAGGTTGATGATATAAATCCTGCATTACCTTAAGGACCCTGGACTCTGGGAATAATGGTATATTGCTTATGGGTAATGCAGGATTTGCATCATCAACCGTAGCATCCCTGAACAAGTGAACCCTAGTTTTTGAGAAGCATCCAGGCACCAGTGCAGGGCGGGCTCACAGTTTTGGGATTTTATCGGCTTCAGGCCACCCTATGATCATTCAGGGGCTTGTCGATCGCAGACTCAAAGCACAAATTGAGGGGTATCTATCCATCCATCTATCTATCCATCCATCGATCAGTCCATGTGTTGGTCTATCTCTCTCTTCCTGTCGACAGACGAGCCTTGCAACTCCAGATAGTCAGGTCCTGACACGGGTTTGTAGCAGCATCCAAGACCGAGCAGCTGCCTTTCGACCGAAACCACTGGTTGCCTCGAGTGCAGCCTATTCAAATTATTCAGGCCCCTATAGTATAGTACACCTTATAGACTTATAGATCCCTTATAGTGGCCCGTGTAGACCCCTCTAAAGGAACCCCTAGTCTAATGATGAAGGCCTAGGAAGTCGGCTGGGTTCGAGTTTAGGATCCTAAAGCCTCGCTCTTCCTGGTAGACTGCGTACATAAGCCCTGAGCCCTAAAATCCCTAAAGCCCGAATCTCTAAATCCTAAACCATCAAGCCCTTCTGGCTGTAGATTTAGGGTTTAGGGTTTAGGTTTCAGGGCTTAGGGTTTAGGGTTTCCCAACATAAAAGAAACAAAAACATCAGGGGCCCTAAACCCCCACAGGTTCCGGACGACAAGTACCTCTTCTCCGAGCTGCCGCACTACCCGCGCTGCACCATCCAGGCCAGGATCTGAGATTAGGATCACTAGGCTCGGGTTTAATATAGGGCCTTAATTAATAGTAGCCTATACTACTTTGAGGGTTCCTGATTATAATTATAGTATAATGAGCCCCAGAACCCTATTCTACCATATGTTTGGCTAGGGTTTATGGTTTTGGGGCTTAGGGCTTAGAGTTTAGAGTCTTAGGTTTTTGCAGAGTTCAGGGTTTATGAGTTGAGGGGTTTAGGTTAGGGCTTACGATTTGGATCCGTGGGTTATGCTAGGCTATGCGCCAAAATCCATGAATATCCTTACTACTACTACTACTACTACTACTACTACTACTACTACTACTACTACTACTACTACTACTACTACTACTACTCCTGCTACTACTACTACTACTACTACTACTACCACTACTACTACTACTACTACTACTACTACTACTACTACTAAACTACTACTACTACTACTACTACTACTACTACTACTACTGCTACTACTACTACCACCACTACTACTGCTGCTACTACTACTGCTACTACTAGTCTAAAACTTTTTCTACTACTACTACTACTACTACTACTACTACTACTACTACTACTACTACTACTACTACTACTACTACTACTACTACTACTACTACTACTACTACTACTACTACTACTACATACTACTACTACTACTACTACTACTACTACTACTACTACTACTACTACTACTACTACTACTACTACTTCTACTACTACTACTACTACTACTACTACTACTACTACTACTACTACTACTACTACTACTACTACTACATTATGAAGGCTCATGTATTAAACCCAAGAAGCTTTAGTGTACCCTATAAAAAACGGGATTTGAGTTGTGTTTGGTTGAAGTGGGGTTGAGAGCTCCGATACTGCAAAGCTCGGTAAAGCTCGTTTACTTGCCGGTATCTGCGAACTTGCCAACAGTGCTTTGTGGGGTTTAGGTATGCCTTTAATCTCGTAAGGCAGTTAAGGTCTCAAGCAGAAAACCTGCATTACAAAAGCACGGAGCGGTACGAGCCGAAGGCAACGTGCCATCACCTATGCCGACATCAGACATCGAGCAGATCAGACACCGAAGATAAACATGAAGCGCTGAATTACTACATACTCCATGCTAACAACCCATCACGACCCAGAACTACCGTACCCTAAGATTGTTAGCATATTGGCATAAAGAATTTTCTATACTATTTGAGGGGTTTTATAAACTATGTATACTGGGCCCCAAAACTCTCTTCTATTTATTAAGGCCCCTGTATTAGCCGCATCAGCCTTGAGGCAGCAGGCCGGGGAGTTTTCATGGAAACATACGGTTCATGAGACAAGTCCTGCATTAACATATGGGAGTTTCCGAAAATAGGGGACCCTAACATAGTACCCTAAATAGTAGGATCCTTACTATAAGGACCCCAAAATAAGGTACCCCTATTTTCGGAAACTCCCATATTTAGATCCTCAACCATATGAGCTCAAAAGCTCCAGAGCTCCAGAACCCTAAAGCCCGGTGGGTTTAGGGTTTAGGGGGGGTCTAGGGTTTGGGGGTTTGGAGGTTTCAGGGGTTTAGGGTTTCAGGGATTAGTGGGTTAGGGTTTAGGGGCACAACTCCAAGCCTGCCAAGCCCCTCTTTAAGAAGCAAGCCCATTCCCCCCCGAACGGAAGCGAATATCGGCTCGTTTCGTCCCCGTCGCCGTGGGCAAAGTGCCGCCATGGCCAGAAGATCGGCGGGTCGACCGAGGGCCCTGCGGCCGGGCTGCACCTTCCTAAACCCTAAGCCCTAAAACCGATTTGGAGGATCAGGAGGGGACTTAGTAAGTTAGGTTATAAGTACCTTAATTGAGGTTATAAGTAACTGTAAGTATAGTTACCTTAATTATGACCCTATAGTTACTAAGTCCCATGATCCTTCAAGTATGTATACTCATTAGGCTTTGGGTTCCAAGTTTTAGGGTTTAGAGTTATGTGCTTTATACACGTCACTCTAAACCCTAAAGCTTGGAACCCAAAGCCCAATAAAGCCTAAACCCCCAAAACCTCCAAACTTAAACTCCAAATCACGGTTTGGGAATTCAGCAATGGGGTATCCAGAAGCAACTGTCTTGTGAGCCCCCTTTGCTGCCACTGAGCAAAGGATCTAACCAATTCAGTACTTGCGTGTCGCAAAGTAGTTTCATAGGTTAGTATCTGGGTCCCTGTACGAATAGCGAAAAACTTGAAATTCGAAGTTGTGAAAGTGTTCCAAGCTCAGAAGAGCATTAGTTACCTAATTTTGAGCTCGGCAGTTTGAGGGGCAGGACCAGGATGGTTCATCCACCGGGGGGTTCTACATGTCAAACCGCAGGCCGTATTTACATCCATGGAGACATTTTGAGGCTTTTCGGAGTACATGCTCGTTTCAACGACGGTCGCATGTCACGAGCTTGTGTACATGGCTTACCCAGACGAACCCGTCAGGTTCTGAAAGCTTGAAACCCCAAAAACACGCCATAGCCCCTGCAAGCCAACCCTAAACCCTGAACGCTAATGACACCCCTAAAAGACGCCATAGCTAAAGATCAGGTGTAGGGGCTCATTTTCATTACATATAGTATAATGGGGCCCAAAACCCTATCCCCATACTATAGAACCCTACTATAGATCCCTTCAAGAACCCCTTAAAGGACCCTTTAAAGTAGCCCGAGGCCCCTGTATTAGCTAAAGATCAGGTGCGCCCTTCTACTCTTGGCCCTCGTCGCTTTGGTGCCCTGGGCCTTTGCTGGGCTCAGCGCGGGCCCGGCAGCCGGAAGGCGAATGAATCGGGGCCTCAATCATCGGAGGCCTCAAAAGGTGGGATGAAGGTGGGTAGGATCAAGGATCCCTTATATAAGGACTCTCATTTGGGAATATCCCACCTACCTTCATCCCACCTTTTGAGGCCTCCGAAATCATTACCTATACGATTTTGGGGGCTCCTTACTTTATTATCGTATAATATTTCGCCAAACCTTATTCTAATTATTGAAGCCCTTACATTCGGTGAAGCTGAGCAGATGGGGCGCAGCTGCAGTAGTTGTACCTCGGACTGTTGTTCTGGATATTCAAACAAAATCTTAAACCCCTTGAATCTGGACCCGGATCCTAGACCCGACTAAACCCTAAACCCCGTAACTGTACGGACCTAAACCCGAACCCAAAAAGCGTACAACCACTGAACCCTGCCTCCCTCAGCCCCAGAGCATTAAACCCGTGAAGCTGGAGGGCCAACCCCCGGGGGGCACGCAAGGCCCTCACTCCCACACCTGACATGACACCGCGGCAACAGGACCGAAACCAGGAAGATGTAAAACCTGGATCGTAGAAATTTTGTATATCTACATCTCTCTCTCTCTCTCTCCCTTTTCGTCTCCCTCTATATCTATATATCTATATATCTATTCTATATATTGTTGGATTTACATATTGGGATTTTTTGAGTGTTAGTGTTCGGGAGTGACTAGGGTTCAGGGTTATCAAAACTCATGATGCCTGAAGACTTACCTGTCTGAAGGCCTTTCAGGCCTTCAGGTTCATGACAGCTTATCCTTACGGGCTCCGCGACAAGACGGTGTCGTGTTCATTGTAACAGGATGAGGCGGAGCTATACATGACCTGAACAGCGTCATACAATCCGATTTTTTATCAGAAAACCAGCAGTAACATCATCAAATCGATTCTTACATAAAGTTGTGCAGCCAATCCTGCAGTCCATAAGCGATCCTTACGCGCCTAGTTCCCATACCATCCTACACTGTCACTGTGCAGCCTCTTCCCTAAGCCCCTTACCAATCGACTCTGATGCTTCTTCAAACCCTAAACCCCTAAACCCCTCAACCCTAAACCTCTAAACCCTAAAACCCCAAACCCCTAAACCCCCTAAACCCCCTGAACCCCTGAACCCCTGAACCCTCAAACTGAAGCCTTTTCTCGAAGCCGTAAGGGGGGGGGGGGCTGAATAGTATGGTTTAGGGTATGTATTCCTTAATTAAGGGGTATTGGGATATAGTATGGTTTAGGGTATGTATTCCTTAATTAAGGGGTATTGGGATATAGTATGGTTTAGGGTATGTATTCCTTAATTAAGGGGTATTGGGATATAGTATGGTTTAGGGTATGTATTCCTTAATTAAGGGGTATTGGGATATAGTATGGTTTAGGGTATGTATTCCTTAATTAAGGGGTATTGGGATATAGTATGGTTTAGGGTCTATTCCTTAATTAAGGGGTTATTGGGATATAGTATGATTTAGGGTATGTTCCTTACTTAAGGGGTTATTGGGATTTCAAGGGGGTTATCTTCAGCCCTCAGTAGTTTCGTTGTTGCAATCCCATATTTCCAAGCGTTACTATGGCCGACATGGTTAGTCATGACTGTGCTATTCGGAAACCTCACGGAGACAGGGCGCGAGACCACATCCCAAGATTCGCAGAAAAGGAGGACAAAGGAGGACTTGGGCTGGGGTTTTTGGGGGTTTCAGGTTGACGGATTTGGGGTCAGGCAGTGTGGATTTGGATTTGTGGTGTTTGACGTTTAAGCAGGGGGCCTGATTACGAAACCCATGGTACCAGTAGGATCCATATCAAGAGCCAAGCTTTCTTTATCAGGTTTCGAGGAAACTATCCGACACAGATTTTGTTTGGACCCTGTGCAGTCGTGGTCGGCGTTGAGGGCGGTGGAAGTTCAGGCTTGAATTGAAGGCTTGATGGTCGGAATTTATCGTTGCGTGAGACGATTTGGGGATGGGGGTAAAGATGCCCAAGGGACCATGTGCTCATCTAGTACTATATACTTTGGCTTCAAAGTGGTCCCTATACAGGTACTTTGCCGCCAAAGTATACACTTTCTAGGTACATGGACGTTTGTTTGGAGTCCACAAGTAACCCCAAGAGCAGGGAGGGACTCGGCCCGAGATTTTGCGCAGGGCTTTTTGCCGTACATCACTCCTTCACCATGAATTTCTAAACTCCTGAGGTTGTTGCTGAACGACCATCTCTGGGTAGCTCCACAACACGAGACGACTCAGCCCGACAACTCCAGCCGAAGCCGCGCCCACACCTACAATCTCGACGCCTTGAACTCCTAAGTTATTTAAGTCTGACCTGAACCCCTATACTCGAATCTCCTCCCGAAGGAGGTGGCTTTTTCTCAGATCCGATCGAAGGATCCCCCTACGAGCCTTGGGCATCTGAGGCGTAGGGTCTTCCCCCAGAGGCCTGAAAAATCCTCTGATCAAGCAGGGCCTTGAGAAACAAGCTCGAATTAAAGGTCGGGTTAATGAGTAGCAGTCTTCCCTTCGAGTCCTTAAAAACCTCAGTAAAATGTGCCTCAACACCCTCAGTATTGACTCAAGGCCCCGATATTGCACCCTAAACCTTGCACCTTGGTTCAGAGTGTCGACACGAACCCAGAGACCGATGGTTTAAGGTTTGAGGTTTCTAGAAATATATAATTTCCTGGAGAAAACCCTGAAGGGAGAACCCCTGGGATTAATGAGACCTACCTTTTCGGGTTTCATTCGGGCTATCAAGCACCCCCTAAACCCCAAAACCCTACCTTAACCCGGAAGAACCTACTTTTTTAAGGAGCTATATAAAGAAATCATAATAAAGAGCCCCAGAAAGGTATGCTATTCAGGGTTAAGGTAAACCCTAAAGATCCAAAAAGGCCCTTCGGACTCTTGGTGCCTTGTAGCTTGCAAGAGTGTGTTGCGCGAGGCCAGGCATTGCGGCAGACGGCTAGAACTTTACGAGCTTCGGTTCCTGCAGGCTTTAAGACTTCGTGGTTCGACTCTCATGTTTCAGAGTTTAGGATTTAAGTTTGAACTCGGAGGTGTTGCAGGTTTAAAGGGCTTCGAGGTTGGAGCAATAGAGTGGTCGTTTAATTCAACCTGCATAGGTAAGCTTCGGCGATTTCAAGCCCCAAAAATCCCAAGCCCGAGCTACAGTAGCGCATGTTTCTAGTTCAGGGTGACGGCGGAAACAGCTGCTGGCAGTAGCCGAGGAAACCAACGAGACGACGGCCGCACTGGTCATTGCCGTGGCAGGGTCTTTGCTGCTGGGCTCCACAACTCCATGCGATGGGTTTTAACAGGGATCGCTGCTACCTGCTGCATGCTTCTGCTCTTCATTGCATTTTCTAGGCGGGTTCTTCTCACATGAGACCGATTGCCTTTATGATTGACCTAAAATTTCAAGCCCCATACGGTTCAGACTTGGTGCGGACCGGTCAAGTGGGATTTCTGAGGTTCACATCTCCAGTGGCTCCAAGCCCCAAAACCCTAAACTTTAGCCGCGAACCCACCGCCCTCAAAGCTTATTGAACCCTTGTAGAAGCCTTAAATATGGGAATCCGTAAAGAAACTGCAAAGCCTATTGCTCGTTTTGGGGCCCCATCCACCAACGTCCGGACCTGTTTCCTTGCTTCCTTTTCAGGCTTTTCTTTGCATATGGCGTGCCTTTCCTCACGGAGTACTTCACGGCCGTCAGCAACCCTCCTTACTGAGCCCTAAGAGGGCGCCTGCGGGCTGCAGCACAAGGATGCTTGCGGTAACAGGCCACGGGCGAAATAGATTAGAATATAGATATACCATCTCGTGTTGTCACGCCCTGCAACTGTCATGTGAAAATTGTGCAGAGGTGTGTACTAGAAGTCGATGGATTGTGCAGGAATGCTTTATCCTACATTTCGAAACCGAGGATCGATTGTCATTGCATCCGTAGTCTCGTGCACATCTACATGAGTCGTATCTGAAACCCGATAAACCCTAAACAAGAGGGTCTCATTGTTTGTATGTGTTTCCTTGCGTTGAACAGGAAAAAGTTGCAATCGCCACTGTGTTGAATGCAATCCAGGGTAGTCCCTGTTTTAAACATGCTATACGCCCCAATCCCTAGGCCCTAAGCCCCCAAACCCTATTGTTTGTGGGTTTAGGGTTTAGGGTTTAGGGGCAGATGTTGTCTGACCCTAAACCCTCAACCCTAGGCCCTAAACCACTCCTGACTGAATGTCGGCGCCTCTACACCCTTTTCCAGAGGACATCCCTCGAACACTGGAGCCTAAACCCTAATCCCCAGACACCAAGCTCTCAAGCAGCCCTACTATAGCATCCGTAAAAAATTACCAACACTATTTTGGGGGTTCCATTATAACTGCATTATAATGGGCCCCAAAATCCTATTCTATCTGTGTATGAAGGCCCCTATATGACATCCCCAATCCTAAACCCCATAACCTCAACCCTAGATGATGAGATTTCCTGGCAGGTGACAAGCAAAGAGGCGCTCCCAAGACACGTGGACAAGGCCTGATCAGAACGGGCCCGGGGTTTTAGGGTTGAGGGTTGGGGGCTTACGGTTTTAGGGCCTTGGGTTTACGGTGTTGGGTTGGTTAAGAGTTTGGGGCTTGGGGCGGGAGTGTTTTGCGCATACGTGCGACCAGCTATGTCGGTTGCTGTCTCTGTTTGTGCGTGTTTTTCCTTTCTGCGCAACGCACACACACACACACACACAACTGTCTAGACGGAAGGAGAAATGCCGTCCCTTGCAGCTACTTATGGCCTCCCTATTTGCCGACCATCGGGGACCGCACTGTACGACCGGCTTAGGGGTCGAAGTGGACCTCAACAGTTTTTTTCACAGTGTAGTTGCGATTGAAGAGCTTGGGGCATAAGCCTGGTGGGAATCTGGATGAAACGTTTCGGTGTCTTGTGTGTGTGTGTGTGTACGTGCACGGTTGAGGATTTAAGGATTTAGGGAAAGGCTCAATTAGATTGAACCTATTGTTTTTTTTCGCCATATGTTAGCCTATCACTTAATTACTCTGCAAGAAATCAGTTCGGGAGTCATCGAACAAGGGGATACAGCCCCTACGTTTAGTTTGGTCCTTTGCAGCTGTCCGTTCTACTCGTCATCATCTTGCTAACGATTAAACGATACATGTCCGGATTGTTGGGTTGACCACCATCCATGTTCCTGGATTCCGTCCCTAAACTGTAAGGCCTGAAGCCCTCAAGCTTAAGTAGACTTCAACTAAACACACGAGCACACACACATGAAAACTAAGCCAAAACATGAGCCTGCATCTTCGTGCCAGGACTGGTTCTCCCCCGTGGAGAAGGGGGCTGATCCCAACCAGGATGTCGTGCGGGGGCTCTCAGCAGGTATCCGAAGTCGTCAAGCGTTTTCGGCTTGGGAGTTCAGTATTGGGTGGTTGTCAAAGTTATGGTCCCCTTTTGGGTCCTTAATATAGTACGGCACCTAATATTTAGGGTACCCAAGAAGGGACCATGGTTTTAAAAAGGGCCATAGTTTTGAGAACCACCCTATTCTAGATTTCAGGAGATCAATGGAACCACCCGGTGGTCTCTGAGGTTTAGAGGCTCTGAACGGTAACACAAACCCCCAAGACACCACATCTTCTTTTGGGGGCCTTTAATGATTACCTATACTATTTTAGCGGGCTCCTTATTAACATTTGTATTTCATGGGCCCCCCAACTCCTATTCTAATTATTAAGGTCCCTATACGTGGAGGATCAGGAGACTTTCTAAGTTAGGTTATAAGTACTTCAATTGGCTTTATAAGTAGTTATACGTATGGTTACCTGAACCATAATCCTAGTGACTAAGTCCCATGATCCTTCAAGTATGCTCCTGTTGCAGGATCCCAAACGCATACGAGGCCCTAAATCCTAAAGCTGGCAAACCACAAGCCCGAAAGCGTCAGCCCCAACAATCTCTGGCAGATCAGAGAAGCTGAGGTCACCTCCGCTCGAAAACCTGTGGAAAAAAACATCATCAGTTCTATAATTCAGAAGGAGGTTTTAGGGTCCCGATGCGAAGCCCCCTAAATAGTTGTCCCCGCTGAGGTATGGAAGCCATCGCTTTAAGTTCCAGGCGTGGCCGAACAAGCAGATGCTGAGTACGCCGGGAACCCATGGACGTGTCCAGTTGTGAGGGCACTGTGTTTAGAGTTTTGGGTTCAGGGCTTAGGATTTTGGGTTCAGGGTCAAGGATTGCGGCCTTAAGTACTTGCTGAGGAACCCTTTACTAAGTCCCATGATCCTCCAAGTTGACCCTTAATCCTTACGGGTTTAGGCTTTAGAGCCTTGGGGCCTGGGTTTTCGCGGGCCCTGGGAAGCATATCCGACTAGGGTCGGGTTTCCTTTAAAGGGGTTCAAAAGTGCTACTGTGGGGGTTACTTGGCGGGTACTATGATACATGGGCCTTAATTAGTAGTTAAACTAAGGTTTTGGGGCCCATTATACTAGAATTATGACAAGGAATCCCAGAGTAGTATAGGTAATTATTAAGGCCCCTATAGTTTATAGTAGACGACATACCCGAGGATGTGAAACACCAAGCCCCAAAACCTTAACGAGAGCCATTCTGTGGAGAGCGAAAAGTGGGTCAGTTTTACATCAGCAGTGTAGGTTTTACGGTTAAGGGTGTAGAGTTTCAGGGCCAGGTCTGCCACGGGGAAGTGGGGAAATCTACCTGTGTGGTGCGGTTTCCCCCTCTTCGGATTTACATGTTCGAGGGTAAATAGAATGTGTTCAGGATTTCTTGCATCTGAACATTCTCAAGCCCTGCTGTAAGCCTGAAGCTCCTGAACCGTATGCCGGAAGCTTTGAGAGACTGTATGTACTGGAAAAGCCCAATTTATTTTCAATGTTATTCCCGTATAGCTGCTTTGCAGCTACAGTCGTGGAGTATATCCCCAAACCCTGGCCGAATCCATAGTTCTCTATGTTATAGAGCCAAGCCTTTTTATATGCCTTAAAAATCCCGTTAAAGGAACTCTCTTCCCATTTGTTGAGGCCCGTCCCCAAACCCCGCCTCCACATCATGTAACCCTAAACCCCCAAACCCTTAGACATCCCTTGAAGTATCCCTACTCGACTCCTTAAAGCCTCTAGAGATACCTGAAGAGAGGCTGCCGCACATCGTCCAGTATGCCTTCAAGTCGAGCCACGGGTCTGGCTTTCAAGCGGAAGGCTCGAGCTCGCCGTTTGTTGGTAGCTACAACAAGAAACCACGACCACCACCACCACCACCATCACCACCACCACCACCACGACCACCACCACCGCCGCCGCCGCCGCCGCCACCACAACCACCACCACCGACAACAACAACAACAACAACGACAACAACAACAGTAACAATAATACTAGCATTAAAATCAGTATTGACAATGGCAACTATGTGTGAATGGCCAGCCCAATAAGAACCGAACCGTGGTAGCCATGACAACAGCGTCGGTATATTACAACAAATATTTTCTTCTTTTCTGATTTTAACAGGAACAAGACTGATAATGAATAGCAAGATCAATGAGCAGTAATACGAATAACGGTAGCATCATCTGATTCGCCATCATACGTCATGGTGCAGCAGACACCCAACCTCTGCTATTCTTTCAAAGGCCAATACCTGTTCACGGATGATACGGACCCCTAAGGTCCTTGAATGGCTGATGGTGCAAGGATGTGCAAGGCTTTCCGGGACGCAGAGATTACACTATGTAGGGCAACGCATCGAAGGCTTAGCCTTGCAGCATGCGGGTGTTGGTCTACTTGCGAAGGTTGAACCTGGGTTTGTCAATGTTGTTGTTCTCCCCCCGCCCCTCCCCGAGCCCCCGCGAGTTCCACTCTGGGTTAGACTCTCTTCCAGAAATCACTGTTTCCGTGCTTGCGCCAGGCGTCGCTGCGGCTGAGCCACCCACGAAGAGACTTGAATGCACGTCCACAATCCTTGACCCTGAAACCCCCAACCCTCAAGTTGAGTCCATACCTTCACCCTAAATTCCTAAATGACCCACAATTTTCCCGGTGTATATCAAGAAATCGTAAAGAGCTCTAAAAACGGCGGGCTTTCGAGGGTTAATTCACTGCTCACCTTTGAACCCTGAGTCAACAAGCCCGAAACCCGGACAGGATTCGAGGCTGAAAGGCTTGTGGTTTGAGGTTGTGGGTCATTGAGTCTAATTAGCCTTAGGCATTGAGGGTTCTGGGGGCTGTACGGTTCGGCGTTCGGGGTTGGATTTCAGGGTTTAGGAGGAGGAGGGTTCCTCTCGAATCTCTGACCAAGGACAGTGGGCACGCAGTCGGTCTTCCGGGAGCAAAGCCCTCAGATGAAGTGCATTTAGGGTGTAGGCTTTAGGGCTTGGAAGTTGGGGTTTGGGTGTCAAAAGTTCCCCCGAACCCTCAAAACCAAAAGCTTGAGGGGTTTTGGGATAAGGTCGAGTTGCAACAACACGAAGCTGGAATTTCCAGCCTCCCTATCCCATCTTGCATAATCTTCTTCATGATGTGCGTTGGATGCAGACTTCAATAGCCCAAGCATGAATCCGATAGTCATGGTGTTTTGTCGGATTTAGGGACTTCTTGTAGCTCAGTTCTGCAGCTGCCTGCTGTATTCAGCTTCGCCCCGTCTACAAGCTAACGAGTTTCCCAACAGTCGACAAGCATTCAGCCTGCATATTCGCCTTCGGGCTGAAGGTGTACGTAAGCCCTAACGCCCTAACGGCGTTGAAGTGTGAGGATTTGGGTTCTGAGTTTGGGTTCGGGATCGGGTCTGCAGATACTGAGTCTTACATCGCGGAGTGTTCAGCTTCACCACGCTTATCCCGTTTTTCCCTCAGCCCACGACTCAAAAGGCATCAGCCACTTCATGTTGTATGTGTTATGTTTCACATATATATATACTGTATTCACATGATGTTTTTGCTTACTTACTTCTTACCTATGTGTTTATGTATCTGTTTCGGGACCACTGGTGGTCCCGTAAACCCCACCTCCCGAGGTGCCCAAAGCCGCGCAAGAAATCGTGCAGTCCGCATCCCGGGTAGGTCTGAAGCGCAGACAGACCCCTACTCGCCGGACTACCAGATCCAGCCGAATCAGGCGGGGTTTGGGGTTTGGTGGGTCAGGTTAGGGTTCCGGGCTTTAGAGCTGTAGGGGTGTCGACAGAACTGCCACATCGGGCTGGATAATGGGCAAACAAATTGTGCAGAGGTGAGGCAGTCAGAATCATTTCAGACTGAGTAACTAAGCTGCTAACGCTTCTGTACAAGCCTGGGCAATGAGGATGCCCAGTTGAAAATGAATCACAACTTTCAAGAAGACTGTAATTCTTCAAGACTTAACCTCCGTACACAAGCATGAACACCCATCTCCATAATCTCGACACCAGCAAACGTCAGGCGGCTTTTTCGGATACGGGTTTCACGGCCGGGCCAGCTTTGTCGAAGGGCCGAAATAGCAGGTTCCCGTTTATGATCCTTTCGAAAGGAGATGGGTTTATTAGTCAGGTTTGAGCATTAAATTAGCGTTTCCGAGTTCTGGCTTTATGGTTTGTAGGGCGCCAGCGAGTCCTCATCTCGAGGTTCGGAACCTACACTCCGGATCATACAATCTCAGTGCGCCTTAAGCCTGCATGAAGACTACCCATAGGCCCCAAAGTAGTTCCTTTTTGGGGTTCATATATAGAATTCTATAAGTTAGTCCCAAAAAGGAACTACTTTGGGGCCTATGGGTACTGACAAAGGGTCAAACACAATGCATCACTACAATCAGACCCATCTCACAGGTGCCCGAGGTTCTGCAGCTGACGCACTTGACCTATGGACCGGCAGCTTAGCAGTGCTTGCAGCCTTGCTTGGGTGCAGTTCGATTTGACCACTGTAAAGGAGTTTGTTGCTTGTATAACATATTATTGGTACAATTATGATTCGTGTTATTGTCATTTCGTCGTAGTCGTAGTCGTAATAGAAGCAGTAGTCGTCGTAGTAGTAGTAGTAGTAGTAGCAGCAGCAGCAGCAGTAGTAGTCGTCGTAGTCGTCGTTGTAGTAGCAGTAGCAGTAGCAGCAGCAGCGCTTGTAGCAGAAATGAAGATGAAACTTCTTGTAGTCGCGCGACTTCAGGTAGCTGCCATGCAACATTCTGCATGATTAGTAACAGCAGAAATGAAGCAGCACTCAATACCAGTATTTGTCCATGAGAGAGACAGCCGCAGCACTCCCTGTTTCAGAGTTTGGGATTTCGACGGCGCGGCTTAGGTTTGGGTGATGAGGCACATTAGTGGTGATGTTTGCTTTTTCCAAGTTTTTGCCTTCGGCAACTTCGAAAAGACCCAAAACCCGAAAGCCTCGAGCCGCCCCCGTATCCTGAAATCCCCTTGAAAGCCAGAGCCCCAAACGGGTTCGGGAGCTCTTTGTAACCCTGGGTTCGGGAACTCTATGTTTGAATCCCGGGTTCGCAGAACTCTGTGTTCGATCCTTCAACCCGGAGCCCCAAACCCTAAACCCCTAAAGCCCCAAAGCCCTAAACCCCTAAACCATAAACCTTAAAGCTCTAAACCCTAAAGCCCTAAAACGCTAAAGCCCTAAACCCTCAACCCCTAAACCCCTAAACCCCTAAAGCCCTAAACCACTAAACCCGAAAGCTTGACGGACTCCTGAAGCTCCCGCCCCCCGGCACTGCCGGTGAGGAGAGGCAGAGCAAAAAAGGGGCGCTTGAAGACCCAGATCATTCCTTCACAAACCCGGAACCACCCAGATCATTCCTGCAGAAACCCGGAATATCGCGAATTTAGGGTTCAGGGGTTAAGGGGGTTAGAGTTGTAGGTTTAGGGTTAGTTGGGGTAGAATTTGAACCCTCTTCTCGAAGCGAAGCACTCCCACAGGAGCCGGCCTCCCAGCCACGGAGGCAGAGCTGCAGATTATCGAGCGGACGAGGTGCGCCGACAGAGCGTTGCTTTTTGGGTTTTGGTGGTTCCTTGTTAGAATTACAGTATGATATACCCCCAAACTCCACTGTACTTATAAAGACCCTTACAGGAGGATGTAGGGCCCGGGTTTGTTAGGGTATTGATGAAAAAGCGCTGTGTTCATAGGGGCGTGCCAGAGGTAGTTCAACACTTCTAAACCCCAAGTCCTGTTCCCCAAAGCTCGAACTCCAGCTCCGGTGCGCTGTTGTAGCAACCTCTGCAGCAATCTGACTGAGGCTCTGAATAGTGAGGATCCTTGGATCCTGCTGTTGTCTCGGGGGGTTTCAGAAACCAGGCCCTAACAGCCTGCATAAACCCTGACCCCCAATTCCTCGAGCCTGAAACCCTAACACCTCAAAGCCCTGAGTGCAGCAACAATGGCAGCAACGTGAACATCTTTGACTACAAAATCATATGAAGGATTCAAACGAGCGTTGAAAGACAGATGCGCACAACCAGATCTATGAAGCACAGAAATTCATTTAAGGTAAAATTGAAACAAAACTAAAACCGTAAAGCCCTATACCCCGAAACCCAAACCCCAAAACCCTCAAGCCTTAAAGCGAAAGCTCAACACTCTAAGACCCTAGGCCCTGGACCCCAATGTAGGCGCCGGACAAGATTGATATCTGCGAAAACTTGGCTTTCTGTTTCAGCTTGTTTAGAACATACAGCAACAGCAGCTACCGCCGGCGAAGATGGATCGTATGTGCGTCCGGAAAGGTTTCCTTCATCAGAGTCGTTCTTTCACGTTGACGAGCCGTTGCCATTGGTGGCGCGGCTTAACCAGATGTCGACTATGGCTATGGCAAAGCTGGACGAGCTCAATGCGGCTATCGGTGTACTATTTAAAAAAATCGGCAAAACACGTCCACGCCGACGGTCCAGAGGCGGATGAAGCAGGCGTCAGCCTTCGTCGCATGACTGGCAATGAGTGCTGGACATGCTTAGATTGAGCGATTGAGGCTCCCAAGCCCAGTAATGTAGGAACCTGACTAAGAAACCTTGGGTCCTTATTAGGATTCCGGCTATAATATGAATCCTATTATATGGGGTGGTTATAGGGCCAGGGTTTCTTAATCAGGTTCCTACATTAGCAAAGCCAATCCTACAGCCCAGGACGGAGCATGATGAAACTTCACGCAGATTTCTCCGATTTGCATATTCTGATGCTGATGGGGTCCACTGGATTCCCTGTGGTCTCTAAGTCGACTTGTAGACTTGGTGCTGGTTGTCGGTGGATTCATGGGTGGTCCAGATTCCTGCCTGGAAGGAACCCCTACAGGCACCCCTGTAGAAATTTGAGGAATGGAGCACATGAGCACAGGCAGAAGCGTCTGTTCAAGCAGATGCTGCCACCTCCTTGTGACGAGCTCGGGCCACAGCCGGATTCAGGGTGTAGAGTTTGAGGTTCGTGTTCAGGGTCATATAAGTCTCGGGGTTCGGGTCTAGACTTTCGGGTTTAGGGTTTCGCTGTTCTATAGACACTGGAGGTGTTCTACAGGGTTGTGTAGATTTCGGGTTCAAGATTCGCCTAAAACCCGAAGCCCTGAGACCCCACACTGTGGAAGTCTACGTCCCGAGCTTGCGGTGTCGGCTTCTTTGACATTTCGCTCAGATCTCAGAGCATACGAGCTTTGGGCAGAAGGGTTCGAAAAGCCAAGAGACATGCAGTGCCAGAGAAAGCTGTAGCATGATTCAGAATCCAGAACACCCTTTCTGGTTTTGGGTTTGGGGTTGTGTCTGTTCTGGGTTCAGGGTAGAATCGAGAGTTTCAGTAGCTGTGCCTGCAAACTTGGTGCTGGTCGGGAGTTACAGAGTATGCAGTCCCGTACATCTCAGAGTCTACCGGCTTTGGGCAACTAATTTCAGGATTGGATCCAGAGTGGTCTATGACCTGATACCCAGAGATTTCGGAGTCTGCTAGCTATACAATGGCTTGACGGATGCTGTCAGAGAGGACATGGGAGACGTGCGAAGCACTAGGTTTGCGTATCTCACCAGGCGCGAGCAGGTGGAGCTGGCGACCTCCCTCGGATTCAGACGAAAGTATCGCCGGCCGCGCGGCGCTGATGGCCATCCGGGAAACATGGCGAGACCTCGTCTGCCCCTCCAACGCAGAGCAAGACTGCGACCAGTTGCGCTGGGTGCGCATGACAGGCGTGACGGACTTGTCCGTGCGTTGTGCGAACAATCGCACCCGGCAGATTGTCAGCAGCGCGCTCGTAACACACATGCCTTTGATTACAGTTTCGATCCCTCAGAGGCTCAGAGATGTCGGAGTCCTTTATCTATATACAAGTTGCTGAAGTTACAGGTTCGATCCCTCAGAGGCAAGGTAAAGTAGAGCATAAACGCAGAAGCCGAAACCCTAAGCTCGAAGAGCCGGACCCTGAACTCTGAAACCTGAGCCCAAGCCCGAAGACGTGACCCGAGTGAAGGGAAGCTTCGAAAGACCCAGAAGTGTCCTAAGTGCTTATAAAGGCTTGTTAGGGTTCCTTCAAAGGTTATTAGAGTTCCCTCTAAAGGTTCTTAGGCTTCCTTTTGGGGGGGAGATATTTTACCCAAACCATAAAAAACTATAAGTCCTACTGTATACACGCTACTTTCTACTTTATGGGTACTTGGAGGACCCTTGGGGAAAGGCCCAGAAGTGTCATGCGCAGGTTCGGAATGGAGGTGCGCGTGCAGCTGATGGAGGCCCGGTCTAGAGAGCAGGGAAGCGTAAGACCGGTAGGGAGTAATAAATATAGGAGCTTAAACTATTTTGGTGCTTTTCTTCCTAGTATCATTGTAGTATAATATACCCCAAACCCTATGCCAATCATTAAGGCCCCTATAGTAGAACCTCCAAAGGTCCTCGCTACTGTTTATACTCTGAAACTTATTTGCATAATTGATAATGTAGGGGTCTTAATAGTCAGAATAGGGTTTTGGCCTCCTTCATGGTATAATCACAATAAGGAGCACTAAGGGTAATCATTTAGGTTTTTATATTACGAACTCAATTCAAACTGCATGTAAGCGCCGACGACATTCTGAAAAAGCTGAAAGACCTGGTCCAAACCTCAAAATGCAACACCACCAACCGTCACCAACCCTTACGACAATCCCGAAACCGTGATTGTGATTGAATTCCGGTCCCATGCTGCTGCTACTACGACCACGACACCACCACCACCACCACCACCACCACCACCACCACCACCACCATCATTATATCAAAGTCCTAGACCCCTAAGCCCTATAAACCCCTGATAGCCCTCAACCCTGAACCCTAAAATCCTAAACCCCAAACCCTAAAACCCTAAACTTTGAACCCTAAAATGAAAATCCTAGACCCCAAAGCCCCCTATAAACCCCTACTACTCCTTCCACTCAAGCATCTTCGTCAGGCCCAGGAGTTCCGCGAATGGGCGGATCGCAGCTGTGCCGAATGGTTTCGGATTCAGGGTTCAGCTTGGGGGTTTAGGGCTTAGGATTCAGGGTTTAGCTTGGGGGTTAGGGTTTGGGATTCAGGGTTCAGGTTGGGTTTGGGGTTTACGTGCCCCTTTTCGGGGTTTAGGGTTCGGGCTTCAGGGTTTGTGGTTTAGGAGTTTAGGCGGTTTGGGGTTCATGGTTTAGGGGTTTAGGCGGTCTGGGTTTAGAGTTTAATAATACTCATGGTTTTGGGTTTTAGAGTTTCAGGATTCAGGGTTTAGGGGATTCGAAACCGGCATTAATGGGCTTGGAGTTTAGAGTTGATATGGGGTTTGGGCTCTTGGGTTTAGAGTTCGAGGTTTAGGCTGTAACCGTAGATGCACTTGTACAAAAGGCTATTATTGCATATACTTTTGGGGGGCAAATGATCTGCGATGCTTCTGTCAGAAGACAGGGATCCAACTTGTTGGGATGGCCTGAACCCTACTTGGAGGATCAGGGGACTTAGTAAGTTAGGTTATAAGTACCTAAATTGGGGTTATAAGTAAGTATAAGCATAGTTACCTTAGTTATAACCCAAGTTACTAAGTCCCATGATCCTTCAAGTACCCCACTAAAACACCAAACCCTGCCTTCAACTCTAAATCTTAGTCTGGTGTGTTCACCACCACCTTACACCTAGAGGAACCCCATCTAAAGAGCCGCAACCCTGACCCTAAACCTCGTAGAACCCCATTAACACCTTAAAGGTTTCCGCCCTGTCTACCGTAAACTCTAAGCCCGAGTGCACCCAGGTGAGCGCACCATCAAGGATCTCCAGGCCGGCGCTTAACACGAAGGGCTGATGTATCTATGACTTCGGGCTATTGCTCTATGGTTTAGCGCGGGGGGGCAGGGTTTAGGGAGTTTAGGGTGTGGGGTCGGGGTTCAGGGTTCAGGCTTCAAGGTGCTGTGTTTTGCTTTTATTGTGTCAATGTGGAGTTAGTTTCATGGGGTTTAGGGTCTACTTAGGGCAGTTAGACTCAGAGTTGGTTTTGTTCATGCTTTAAAGTTTTTAAGATCTTTCAAGGCTCCCAACGGAATGAGATCACCCACGATTCAGTATGTTCGAGTTTTGCTTTCTGTGTGATTGGGAGTTTTGATTTTCGCGAAGAGAGTTTCGCTGTCTCTGGAAACACCACGAGGGGCTTCGCAGGTTTCGGGGTCTAGGGCCAAGTTTAGGGTTTCGGGCTTGAGGCTTCGGGGTTTTTCAGGTTTAGATGGCATGACATCTTGAGGCCACTTGCCATAACGAAACTAGATACTGTAGCTGATTTAGGAAACGAAAAGTGTTCAGGGTCATGGCCATCATTCAAGCGTGCAGGAATGAGTGGAACAATCCATGGTTGAAGTACATTATACCCCACGGAATCTAGATGAGAGCACGCAGCACATAGCAGCACATCCCTTCAATGGAATCTCATTCAGGATGCGGCAAAACATTAGGTTTTAGCGCTTAGGGTGTGTGGCTTGAGGCGATGTTGTCGTTCTGGGTGCTTTGAGCCCTATAAGTAGAATGATTTTGGGGGTTCCGGTCCGGTCCATGGTCCTGGTCGCCTCTGCAGGACAAGCGGCTGAAGCTACTGGAGCAGGCGGGGGAGTGTTTTTTCGGGCTTCTGCTAGAAGGCTGCATCACAACAACATGAAATGTCGTTTCAGGGCTCTGGGCTCAGGGTTTAGGGTTTTTCCTGGTGGGGACAGCACATAGGGTTTCGGGTTTGAGGGCTCGAGTTTAGGGTATAGTTTGTACATGTATAAAATATCTGGCCATCTTAAACTCCAAACCCTCTACTATTTCAGTACATGGAGCCTAACAGCCTCATGTCCACTAAAAGGAAACAATATTGAAAAACCTGTCAGAACCCGAAACTCCTTTATGGCTCCAGAAGGCCCTATATAAGGCCCTTAAGCAGTGTGGAGGCTTTGTTGGAGCGTGACGTGAAGCGCGAGGATGCGCAGGTCAGCAAGGCTGGGAAACGCAGCACGTGGGCTTCTGGCTTGCGATTTGAAAAGGTTTTACGGTTTAGGATACCCTAAACCATAAACCCGAAACCCTAAACCGTATAAGGATCTGCATGGGTCTTGAGCTTAGGACGAAAGGCTTCTAGAATCGGGCTTCAGTCTGCGGGTGCTGGGGCTTCAGCCGGGGGGGGGGGGAAGTCACACAGGCACACGGGTCTGGTGCTACAGGGCTTTGGTTTCGTTTCTGGAAGCTTCGGGACCACAAGAGGAACCCTGACATGGGTTCATGGTACATACCCCATATGGGAGTTTCCGAAAATAGGGGGCCCTAATATAGTACCTGAAATAGCAGGATCCTTATTACAACGACCCCAAAATAAGGTACCCCCTAATTTTCGGAAACTCCCATATGGGGTTCAAAGTATCAGATGCAGAACTCCGCTTCTCTTGAAGGGCAGCTCGGCCCTTTAGACAGAAGTAGGGTTTTGGATTGTAGGGCCTCGGAGGTGTTGGGGGTCGAGAACCTCGACCTTAGGAACTTTACGGGGCAAGGTTACTTGAAGGATCAGGGTTATAAGTACCTTAATAGGGCTATAAGTAGTTATAAGTATGGTTACCTTAATTGCAACCGTATAACCTTAGTTACTAAGTCCCATGATCCTTTAAGTAGGCCCATTATGGCCCATTAAAGTACCCTGACAGCCTTCATGCGACCGTGGACTCGAACGCAGAACAGCCCTCACCCAACCCGGAACCCCAATCCGGCTTATGAGGGTTTAGGGTTTAGGGTTTAGGGTTTAGGGTTTGGTTTTCGTGGGCTTCACTCTGGTCTTCGAGGGTCTTGGGGTTTGGGAGTTGGGCTTTGGGGCTGGAGTCTGAGGTTAAGGGACTAAGAGAGCTGAAGCTCCGGTAGAACCCCTTGTAGGGCCCTTTACGCAACCCCTCGAAGCCTAAGCCCCTAAACCCTAAACCCTAAGCCCTAAACCCCGCCAGCGTCGGTTCAGGTGGAGCGCGTCAGGCAGCGAAAGGAAGAGGCCGCTTTGGCCAAGTGTTGGAACCTGAACACGCACCTCCTGGTTCTAGCAACCATGTGCATAATATGTAGTTGTCTATGTATCGGTCTACTTCTCTATTTGTCTGTCCTTTTATCTAGTTTTGTTTGTGTACTTTTCTGCAGTGATAGAGGGGAGAATGGATGGATAGATCGATCGATCGACAAGAAGATGTGCGCAGGAACCTCGCTCTCTCTCTCTCTCTCTCTCTCTCTCTCTCTCTCTCTCTCTCTCTCTCTCTCTCTCTCTCTCTCTCTCTCTCTCCCTCCCCTTATAATCGACAATATGTAGCTTTGTATATATATATATACACATACATATCACAGCTAAATATGTAATTACACCTATGTACATTATACATGAACATATGTATATACACACCTACATATGTATGCATGTATGCATGCATGTGTGTTATTCATATGTCTTACATATACATGTATGTACACACTCGCGTGTGTAAATGTGGCGCGACATAATGTACGTGTATACCTTTTCGTATACCGGTCTTCCTGCAACTGCACTATACTCAATTCATACATCTACGGTGGCATATACACATGTATATACATATATGCTTATCTAGGTAACTGGTCATACGAGGAAGTACCGGAGGTTTGCTTACCTAGATTCCTACACCAGGCATTATGGCGAAGGTCCACAGCCCTAAAGCACAACCCTGAACTCTAAGCCTCAACTTGGAGACTGTAACCCGGAATCTGTTGCCCCTAAATGGCCCTAAATCTTGATCCCCCCGAAACCCCAAATCCTGGACCATAAACTCTTCCAGAACCCTTGTAAGCCCTAATAGATATCTTCTGGAGCCCTGAAAAACTCAAGCCCGACGCTGCTCCCATCCTCACACTGTTGTGGCTCTGCAGGAACGAGATCGTAAGCTGGCCGCCTGCCAGCGGCTTCGAACCAAGGCACGAGAGAGTGCAGATGGCTTTAGGGTTTAGGGATTAAATCGTGGTTTAGGGTTTAAGATTTAGGGTGTAAGGTCTCAGGGCTTAGGGCTAGATTATTTTTCAGGGTTGAGGACAGCGCTGCACGCTTCCAGCCCTTGAACTACTTTTGTAACCAGCTTGCTACGCGAATCGCAAGAGGCGACCGTGTGCCTGTGCTGTCGAAAGGAACCCTAAACCCTCAACTGTAGTATATGTTTATATTCACTGTCGTTACTTGGAGGTTCCTGGCCAGGTGGTGAGCCTGCAGTAGGATGATGGGTACCTTAATTGCGGGGATCATCTAGGGTCATACTTACATCATCCTACTTAGACAGGCCCCCTACTCACGACTCTACTTAGTTAGTTAGATCCCTGCAATGCCCAGAAACTTTAAGTAGCGTGACCCCGTACCCCGCCCCTCCCCACTTCCGAAGCATATTCGAATTTCAAGATTGGCCTTTGAATGGGGGAGACCGTGCTCGAATAACATAAGATGGGTTTAGGGATTTAGGGTTTCAGAAGAATCAGTCTCTTTGTCACCCACTTGCAGTCTTACAATGTGGTCTATGGCATGGTCGTATACTCCCAGAAGTTTATTGTCCACGTTGCATCTTGATTCGGAATCATCATCTCCGTTCTATGTAAAGATATGCCTTATAAGAATTAAGGATTCCACATAAAGCTGCATCGGGGAAGCCGCAAGGTACTCCGGAAGATGCAGAAAGAGCGAACACGCGCACGGCTCCCAGTGCTCTGCACGCGATGTCTCGTGCTCGCGTTGCTCGCCTGCGCTTCACAACCGAATTCAAGGAATCTTGATCCTATTCCTAAACACAAGTCGAGACCTAAACCCTACACTCAACCTGAATTAGACCTCAAACCCTAGTTAGGCTGTCAGTCTTGCTGTTCACGGGACCAAACAAACCCTAAGCCCACTTTCCATGAACTTTCCCCCCGAAGTCGCTGAACAAGATTCTCCAACCCTTATACTCTGACCCCACTATAGCCTTGAAAAGCTAAACCCTAAAACCCCAAACCCTAAAATCCTAAAATTATAGGATTCAGTTCCACCGCCCTGACCACCAAACCTCAACACCCTTCGGGGCTTTTCCTCGTTTGAACTGCAGGTACTAGGACTAGGAGTGTCGCTTCTAGGGCTCGGCTTTGTTGTGGGTAGTTCTCTAAATTGGAGTCTCTTCGCAGATTCCCGAAGCATTACGGCACCCTTCTTAAAAGGACTCCAAAAGAGACTCTAATTTAGAGAACTACGAGTAGCCCCACTGCAGCTCCAGCTTTTGAGCTTGAGACTCACAATCCTCACCGGGAAACTGGCAAACTTGTTCTTGGCCTTGGTTCATGGCCGGCAAGGGTTTAGGGGTTCAGAGCTTCAAGAAGAGTTAAAGGTGGCAACAAATCCCTCGTTCTAGCTTCTTCTGTAACAGCAGCAAAGAGTTTAGGAATGCCGCTGGTGTCAAGTCTTGTAGCGGCTCAGCAAAACACCAGGTTTAGAGTTATTGATTTCGGGTTTAGGGCTGTTCTCGAGACTGTTTGTCAGACTGAATGACAAGTCCTTGGCCTAGTCGGAGTCGTCCATCCAGGTACCTTAAGTTTTCAGGGTAGTGACATGTGAGACCTTATAGGAATACAGCATGTGTGAATGTGCACGTACACATGTTTCTGCAGAATATCGCTTGCACAAAGTCTTACGATTTGATGTCCCAGATTCGTGCGCCAAATTGTGTATAATGATTCTTGGGCATGTAGATTAAACATTTATAAGGCTTGCATCATAGTAGCCAAGCTTAATTTCGTCTTGATCTTCGAGCCCAGGGCCTAAACAAAACCAAATCAACCGCCGGAGCAAGGCAGATGCTCCGACCACGAAGCCGGGGCCTCTTTGGCCACCTGGGGTCGGAGTTTACGGTATGTTCACTTTATTGGTTGTCGGATTTAGGTCTGTTTTGTTTTGTTCCGGAGTTGGGGAACCGGGGTGTAGGATATCCGATTATCCGGTTTGGAATTTACCATGTTCTTATGTTCTTGCGTGTGGTGTAGGGTTGAATATATAAGTTGCAACGTAGGGGATGGAGTTAAACCTGGGCCGGAACGCGAAGAGCCGAACTCGAAGCCCCATAAAAATCCTTACAAGACCCCATAGAAACCGTACAAAAATCCTGGAAAACCATCGTTGAACATCCATAAAGATCTACAGATTTATGAGCCCTCTAAAACAAAGCAAGAAACCCTTGTAGAACCCCCCGAGCAAGCTCTCCCTGAGGCACCCGCGACATGCGCTCGCGCTCGCCAGTAAGCCCTAAACAGCCGTAAACCCTGAACTAAACCCTGTACCACACTGAGGCGCGACGTGATCGCCGAATACGCCGACTTCACGTCGGAGGCAAGGGGATTCTTAAAGTGGTCCTTCAAGGGATCAAAAAAGGGTTTTCTACCAGGGATCCGATCACATAAGTACCAACCGGATCTAAAGGGGCTTTATGAGATGTTACATTTGTTGGTTTTACGGGGTTTAGGGTCGTACTGGTACAAGTTCTTGTCGTCGGCACAGTCGCAGTCATCTCGCCATAGCCCAGTGTCAGCAATAGTCAAGTTCTGGGAAGTACAACGTGTGCTCGTTGGCATTCCCTAGAATCCCAGTAAGAGCCCTTATACAACTGCAGTATGGCAATCCATGATCTAAGTCTGGGTTGGTCCCTTCTGACGAATGTACTCATATCCGGGGCTGCATGGAGATATGGATTGTGGTACTGTTTATTGCATAATCGCTTGACTTCTAAGCTGAAAAAGAAGCCAAGGAAAGCCTCACCAAGTGACCGCAAGTAGGTTCCATTGGCCTCGGTGCACGGACCCCAACTATGAACTAACACGAATTGGTACCTAACGAAGCTGCAGTGGTCCTTGCAGGTGTATGCTCCTTTGGCACGTGGGGAGCCGAGCAGCAGCCGTGGGTGTAGGATTTCAGGCTCACGCAAGTTGCACAGCCGAAAAGACCCCACACCCTGAGGTTCGAACCGCCCTACAGCAGCCCTAAACACCTAAGCCCTAAACCCTACACCCCCTCCATACAGCACCTTGACGCCCCTCAACCCTTAAAAAGACCTAATATAGAAGCATGACAAATTACCTTTAGTGTTCCATATTATTCCTTAGGGGTCCTTATTATAAAATTATTTATAAAGGAGCTCAAAGCCATATTCTAATTATGAAGGCCCTTACATTAAGCCTTAAGCTCTCAAGCTCCAAAATCCCAAAGCCCTAGGTTTCTCAGCCCTTGGTTTCAAGATTGGTGGTTCCGGTTTAGGGTTTAGGGTTCAGGGTTTAGGGTCGTTCTGCATGCCAATGCCGACGCCTTTACAGAGCGCAATCATATGCTATACTCAGCGATCAGACACAGTCTTTGCCTAAAGGCTCAGAGGACTTAGCAAGAAGTACGATATTACATTTAATTGAACCACAATATCTGTTTATCTCAAACCACGAAATCAAGCAAGTATTAAGAAGCTTGAAATGCTCTTTTCTTCTACATAGGATAGTCCGAAGAAGCTTAGACCGCCTTGCTAGTCGCATGATCCTGCAAGTAGGTCTGCAGGGGTTTAGGGTTTACGCGCTTAGGGTTTTAGGGTTTAGGAGAGGTTTGGGAGTTTAGGGTTTATGGGTTTAGGGTTTAATTAGGGGCTTAGGGGTTTAGGGTTCTACGTACAATTAGTGACGGTGTCCAGACCCTCGATTGAGACCTTGACACTTAGTAGGCCGTCGCCTGAGGTAGCTCAACTCGGAATGTTCGCATGACTTCAAGGCGTGCTCATGATGTACAAGTGCAGATAATCCCATAGTAATGTGTCCATCCGAAAGTCGCTCCTGTGTGTGGTTGCGCATGCTTATAGGTAGGATTCTTCGAACATTCTACAAATGTTATGCGGTATAAGGCATATCAAACAGAGGAGCTGCAATTTATGAGCGTCTAGGTACAGGCCGCAAATTCCAGCGAAGGGTTGGTTTATGGAGCCAAGGTCATGGCCATGTGCCGGACTACAACACTGCCAAAATTGAGGCCGAACCTGGGAAGTTTCTATGCTTGTGGGCTTGAGGGCCTCTGTGGAGATCTTTCTGGAATTTCTCATTGTTTTGCGATTTTGCAAGGGTTGAGCGTCGGTCGATCTCGAAAATTAGAGCTGCATTTCGGCTCTATCGGGCTTGAAAGAAAGAAGCTCCCTGGACGTTTTAAACAGTACTCGCCTTACTCACTTGAATTAATCTCAAGGATCCCTCTAAGTCCTCACATGAATCCTTGTGAAGACATGTAAGAAGCACTATGGGACCCTGTGTCATTTGTTTTGTGGGATTTGGGATCTCTCTGAGAAACCTTCAACGACTGAAAGACTGATTTCTTAGGCTGTGCTGCCAGCTTCGCTCCAAGACAAAACTTGGTGGGCGCTTACACCCGATTTATCATTAGATAGCGATTTGTGAGGGCTTTACGAGTTTAATTTATTGTTGGGGGAGAGCCAGGGAGAGAGAGAGAGAGAGAGAGAGAGCCAGCGAGATTTGGGCGGGGAGAGACACCGAGGGCGCAAGAGAGAGCAAGCGACAGACAGAGAGAGAGAGAGGATGCGTGCTTAACATGGTGATGTCCAAGCAACCCCAATGGCCCAAGCAACCCTGACAGGACACGCAAAGCATATCAACATTCCACCGAACTCGTTGGGATCCCACGGTACCTGCAGGTGCAGCCATCCGCTCTGACCTCAGAACCAGGCGTTGGATACTTTCCTTACCCCTGGCCGTCTTTTGGACTAGCCGTTCGAGGGTCTTGAGGGTTGAGGGACTATAGGCCCTGGGGGTTTAAGCTCGAATTAGATTGTCTCATGTGGGGTTTCTAGTTGGGGTTTGATGGTTTTCCGGTCTTCATGGTCGCAAGCAGAGGTTCGGACATGCGCATTTTGAGGCCACACAGGACACCGGAGCTGAATATCCTCTCGAAGAAAGAAGCTGAAGCAGCTATGCCCTACTTGAAGGATCGTGAGACTTAGTAACTAGGGTTATAACTAAGGCAACCATACTTTTTATTACTTATAACCCCGATTAATAGGTACTTATAACCTAACTTACTAAGTCCCATGATCCTCCAAGTAGAAGCTTCTGTTCCAGGAGCCATGAAGTCCGAAAAGGGACCCCGCCCCAACTATCGTCCGGTTAGAGCCTGAATAACCAACATGAGGGACCATAAAAAGTCTCGAAGCCCTGAAATCCCAAACCCACCCTGAACAGTATATGTTCTGATGTAGGGCTGAGGCTTTAGGGCCTGAGCCCCAACCCCTATAAACCCTAAACCCCAAGGCCCGCTCCCGTGGAGGATCAGGGGACTTAGTAAGTTAGGTTATAAGTACCCTAATTGGGGTTATAAGTATGGTTACCTTAATTATAACCCTAGTTACTAAGTCCCATCATCCTTCAAGTACATGGCGTGAACCCCAGAAAGTTGGAACATGGTTTCAGGGTGATTCGTGCTGGGATTCCCTATACTTTACCTAATTGGCATGAGGATAATGATGTTCCAACTTTCTGGCTTCTACTCTATATGGGACAAGGTACCCCTACCCCAACCCACAAATTTAGAAATCCTATGTCTGCTATGTCAGTACTTATTAGGCCCATTGAAGACTCCAAGGGGGTCCTGGCGCCAAGGATTTGTCAACTTTCCCTGGTTTGGTCCAGCTGGAAGCGTGAAGACCTCGGTTTTCTTGCGGTTTAGGGCTTACCTTAACCCTTAACCCTGAAGAACCTACCTTTTTCGGCCTCCTTGTTATGATTTCTTTACATAAGTCCTTAAAAAGGTAGGTTCTTCAGGGTTAAGGTAGGGCTTAGGGCAAAGATAGTTTTGAAGTTCCGTAGGTAAGGTTGCGGGGGTTTGAGCTGTGGATTGTTGGCTTCAGGGTTTAGGTTGTAACGTTTGGTCTGCATTGTGATTAGGGTATAGGGCTACGAAAATGTGGAGAGTTTGATCTTTAATTAGTTTGTTTGGAATTCAGGTTTCGGGTCCCTCGCCGGTCGTGCAATGAACTACCATGCCAAACGGACAGGGATGCATGCACACGTATAAGCAACCATTCGCATTCAAAGGCGAAGCTTCAATATGTTTGTGGGCACACAGGAGCAACCCGAGTCTTCTAGGGACCGCTTCATGTTCATGTGCGTGGTTGTCAAGATTGGGGTCCCTTTTTGGGTCCTTATTATTACACGAAGACGCCACTATGTAGGCTACGGGCAACCAGCCTGAAGCCGTAATCCCTGAACCTTAAGCCCTAAACCCCTAAGCATAGACTAGCAACATGTCGATGCGCAAGGACCGGCAGGGTATTAGAGTGAACAGCTCATATACAAACCAACTCCCTATAATTTGAGCATTCAGAGAAGTGACATACAACATTCTGTTTATGAAGGAAATGAGTCTATATGTTTAGACCTGTAAGTTACTCTCGGTGCCAAGAGTTGCAAGACGCACAACCTTAACTCCGGACTCTTGTGAAGCCTCCGTCGAAGTCCACGGGACATACAGCCCTGCACTTTCCTGCTTCCAGGTGAAAACTCCAAACCCTAACCCTAAGGGTCCAAAGGACCCAATAATTAGGTACTTGTGTTTAGAATAGTAGTTTTGTAGGTTAGGGTTTTGGAGAGTATATGAGAATTGGGTACTTGGACCCTTGGGGTAAACTTGGAATGGTAGGGGGATGGGCTAATCAGGGTCTTCAGCGCTTTAAAGGTTAAAGCCGGAACTCCTAATGTAGGAGCCTGCCTCATTGCCAATGCTGCTCTTGGAGGTTTCATATTCTAATCCGCCAACCATGTATCCAACAATGCAAATAGTATGACTACGGGTGCCCGTATATTATAGACCTCAGCAAGCCCCAAACTCCCCGACCCCTAGAGCATAACACGAGAGAAGTGGCCGAGGTCTCTTCATCCGTCGGTGCTCCGTGCACCGGAAAAGCATCCGAAGGACCACTGCCACTGCATCGGGTTTTCCAAAAGGGTTTAGGGGTTTGTCGGGTTCATGGTTCTAGAAAGGTTCATAGAGTTCCCGGAGAATCCAGAAACCCTGTATCTATATGTAGCCTCAATTGTTAGCGGAATCCTTTACAAGAGCTGCAGCTGCGAAAGTCGCATACCCTTGGGTCCCTATATTGCACTATGCTCCACTAATTACAACATGCTCCAAGCCCCTGTTCCGATTGCAAAGCATTCGCTGAAGTTGTTGATTCTGAGAGGTATTTCGCATCTGTCTGAGAAGGTGTGGTTGGTGTCCCCTGTTCGATAACAACCGTTGCGAGGTGCCACTTGTGGTTCCAACTACCCAACCTGCATTTGTTTTGGCCTTGGCTGTCGTGCAAGACAGTCAGCCGTTGCCATAAACAGTAAACTTCCCTAAGCTCCTAAACCCTAAACCCCTAAAGCCCTTGCCTAACCAAAGTTTTGATTTAATCAGGCACCAATGCACCTGCTAGCGGCGAGGGTGTGAAAAAAGGGAAGATGGAAAGTAAGCTCGTGGCTAATCGCACCCCGTAAATGTCTTACAGCCCACCCCCCCGCCAACAGGCATTCATAAGGATTCAATCAAGTTTCAATATTGGAGAGGGAGATCTCTACTGTCACTGTTGCTTGCTCTTGCTCCTGCTGCTCTTGGTCTTGCTCCTGAATCCGTAATCCAAAGTAGTTTTGAAAAGGTGAGGATTGCTCTTGCTCCTGCTGCTCTTGGTCTTGCTCCTGAATCCGTAATCCAAAGTAGTTTTGAAAAGGTGAGGATGTTTTCGTCAGGATTTTCCGGGAAGTGTCTGTGGCTATAAAAGGGGGAAGGCTCAACAAATGGGGATCGTGCCTAGTCGCTAATGCGTTTCGACCTCAGCCCCTGCATATAAGGCCGTAGATTAGGGACCCAAAAAGCACATAAGCATAAGCATTTTACAGGGATATCCCTACCTTGTTGAGCTTCAGTATAAGGGGGTTTATATGGGATATCCTTAACCTCATTTTTGCTTACGTGCTTGTTTGGGGCCCTAATAGACACTTGAAAGGTCAAAATCCCTCAAAGCCCGAAACCCGTCAGGTCTTTTGCAGACCTATTCTCTGATGAAAGGGGGATGTTTGGGGTATCTTGGAGTATAGTTTTGAAGGGGCCCCCACCCTTTAATAGTGGTATGTTAGGAATATAATAGGGCCCTACCACAATCCTTATAGTCACTATTACAGCGTGGGGGCAGCTTCTAAAGTATAGATTCATATGAGGACGATAAGGTAATACTCGTGTTGAGAATTCAGGTCCTTACATAACCTCGAGGTTCCTGGGTAGCTGCAACTGGGGTCATGTGAGTATAGATCTTAAGTGACTGGGTAGGTAACCTGGAAGGTTTTGGGGATGATATACTTCTAGGACCCAGAGTAAGCCCTTATTCCCTTTTTTAGGGTTCTGGTTCCCTTATTAAGCCCTTCAAACCAAAAAGGGCACCCTTTTTATTCCTAGGTTACTCTTGGGTCTAGACTTCTAGGCCAGGGCCAGGGGCTCAGCCCCTAAGAGATACACATAATTACCGGGCACAATGGCCTACTTACAACGACCCCCTGATCCTTTGGGTAGATCTTAAGCCCTTTGTTTTGGGTCTACCTGGAACCAGAAGCTGCGAAATCCAAAACCTACGGTTTAGGGTTTTGGATAGAGGGTTTAGGGATCCGAGTCCTGAAGCCCGAGAAGCACGAAACTTAAATCATGCATCAAGCCCCGAAGCCTAAAGCTTATAAACTCTAAGCACGAAACTTAAATCATGCATCAAGCCCCGAAGCCTAAAGCTTATAAACTCTAAGCACGAAACTTAAATCATGCATCAAGCCCCGAAGCCTAAAGCTTATAAACTCTAAGCACGAAACTTAAATCATGCATCAAGCCCCGAAGCCTAAAGCTTATAAACTCTAAGCACGAAACTTAAAAATCATGCATCAAGCCCCGAAGCCTAAAGCTTATAAACTCTAAGCACGAAACTTAAATCATGCATCAAGCCCCGAAGCCTAAAGCTTATAAACTCTAAGCTTGAACCCGATAAGCCATGCGCCGAAGCATCATGAGGATATGGATAAGAAGAAGAAGTCCAGCCACCAGGTGCGCAAGGACAGGCGAAGCATTTGGCGGGGTATGTTTCGGGGCTGAAGGATTAAAGTTTAGCGAATTGGGGGGGCTTAAGGTTGGAGTTTTGTAGCTTAGGGTCTAGGGGTTTGGTTTTGAAAAATTAAGCGCTTCACGGATGATGGGTCTTTCTGTGTCCGGGGGTTCGGAGCTCATCCCTCCGAGGCTCAAACTCATTCTGCCTCACAGCGAAGTGCAGTGGAGCTCGAATATAGGGGCCTAAATGATTGCCTATACTATTCTGGGGGCTTCATTATTATAAATATAGTATATTGGGCCCCAAAACATCTTCTAATTATTGAGGTCCCTATGTTAGTTGGTAAGTCTGAGAAGTCCGATTTGCTCGGGCTACAGGGCTGGAGCGCTCTGGAAGCTGACAACTCATCACAATAGGGCCTAAATAGTTACCAATATGTGGAAGCTCTGAACCTTGTGTATACCTTCAGATGCCGTTTGAAAGGTGTCAAGCATGCAGCCTTGGATATGTAAAGACCGTCTAGCTGCAAGGCCCTAGAGCTTGTAAAGTTGTGCTCTAGGTCGTGTACTGAAGTGCATCTCAGATTTCTTGTGCGGAAAAGTAAGACCTCGCTTGCGTTGCCCCATGGTTTCAATCCGATAAAATTGGAACGATACGTGAAGAAGAACAGCAAGGCAGCTCCGCAGGACTGGTGTCAGTCAACAGGTTATGAGCGCCCAATCGGATGCTCGTGCTGGCACGTTAGAAGGAGAAGCTGCAGGACCGGACTACAGTCGAGCGGAAGGTCTGGCAGTGGGCGATGGTAGGCCAGGGATGCTCAACGGAGTCATGCCTGGCGGTGCTCGTCATCCCTCACCGGGTGATGGGAACGCCAGGGGAGGCAGCGTTGATCGTCCCCAAGGAGGGCCAGCTACTGTGGCTGGACAACTTGGACCTAGAGTGAGCGAAACCGGACAGGGCGCGACGTCGTACGGTGCGACTGGATCTGAGGCGAGGGGTTCAGGAGCTAGCAGTCTGGGGTTTAGTGGTGGTGTCGGTCAGCAGCATGCACAGCAGCAGCCGCCGCAACAGCTCCAACAAGAGGCTACGCAGCCTGTTCAGCAACTGCTGCAGCAGCAACCGCCGCAGCAACCCCAGCAACCAGCTACGCAGCCTGTTCAACAACCGCCGCAGCAGCTTCAGCAAGCAGCTACGCAGCCTGTCCAGCAAGCACAGCCTCAGCTAGGCCAACAAGCAGCTACGCAGCCTGTCCAGCAAGCACAGCCTCAGCTAGGCCAACAAGAAGCTACACAGCATGCCCAGCAAGCAGCCACACCGCATGAGCAGCAGCTACCTCAGCCTGGTCAACAAGGAGTACCACAGAGTGTGCAACGACAGTCAGGCATGTCTCCTTCTTTGGTGTCAACTCAGCAAGACCTACAACAACCACCTTCCCAAGAACCTGCAGGTAATCCCCAAGGTGTACCTCAACAGCATACCGTGATGCCAGCCTTGCGTCTTCAAGGACCCCGTCAGCCACGCTTGGTGACAACAGGAGACCTACCACGTGGTTCGGAGCCTGAGTTACGTCAAGGGCATCACATGGAGCAGCAAGCCGCAGAAGCTTTGGCGTCTGTGGATAGCTTTGTGTCGGCGAGAAGTAGTACAACGGTAGAGGGAGCTTCGAGGAACATGTGGGTGTCCTTTGGTGAGATGTTTCAGAGGCGAGTAGTGAATCCAGTGGTGACGGCTGGAAGAACATTTACTTCTACTACGACTTCACGAACTACCCCAGGGCAGCTTGAGCCGATGTTTACAGGTGAACTTCGAGAAGCTATGCAAGCCCATCAATCTCGGGACACCCTAATCAGTCCCCAGCGCCGAAGGACAGAGGAAGATGGATCTTCGAGCAGCCTCAACCAGGACATGATCCTAGAGGAGGTCCGCCGGCAGGTGCAAGTTGCGATGAGGGGAAGGGATCAAGAGGTTGCAGCTTTGAGGCACAAGAATGAGCAGTTGGAGTTGGCGCTGAAGGAAGCGAACACGGCAGTAAGAGCACAAGGAGCTGGAAGTGGAGTTCAGCCTGTTGTGACAGAGCCAGGAGAAACTTCAGCAGTGCGTGGAGTACATCCTTCTGGAGTTGCAGTAGGTGCTACAGAACTCCCGCGAGTTCCAGCCCCTCTTTTGTTTCATCCCACGGAACCTGGAGGCAACCTTTCAGGAGCAGGTGGAGGGGATCTTCACAACTGCGCGGGAATGACAGGGCCCCCAGGACTTGGGGTTCCGGGTGAGCGAACTTCGGCTACTGCGAGGGAATCTTCAGAAATCCCTGGCGTTGATAGGCGAGAGCGTGTACCTGAACCTCGAGTACAGGGAAGTGAACCTTTGCATCTCCTTGTTGAGGGGATGCGACAGCTGCAACAAGTGTACTTGGGTCGTGCGGATGCCAAGGACTCAGAGATGAAGGTTGGAAGTGCTGAGCTTCCTGAGATGCCCCCTGTCGGCCCTGAGTCGGCCGTGGCTTTTAGTGATTGGTTGTATGAAGTCGAACAGGCAGTTGGTGGTTTGAGTGACAAGGCCAGCGACTGGTTCGGCATGTGTTTGCGTTTGGCCCAGGACACCTACGAGATTTACCAACAGAGCGATCCGTTGGCAAGGTTGTCGTTGGAGCCGAAACGGAGCAGCGACCTGGCAGATGCCAAATGGTCGCGCCTTGAAAGGCGAGTCTTGACTATGCTGTTGGGAACTTTGCAAAAGGCGGCGAAGGACGATGCGGTGACGCATCGAATATCGTCGGTGCCTGCCCTTTTGTTTAGACTGCATGTGCTGTATGCTCCAGGGAGTTCAAGTGAGCGAGCGGCCATACTACGTCAACTTGAGGGCTCTTCGGCGGGTTTGGGCTTGGCCGAAACAGTGACGGCGCTCCGGAAGTGGCGTCGCCACCTTCAAAGGGCCGAAGAAATGAAGGTATCGGTCCCTGATGCTTCGTTGCTTTTGAGAAGCATTGAAACGATAGCAGGAAGAGCCATCGATGCGAACCAGGACGTGAAGTTCAGACTGGCTCTATCCCGAAATCAACTACAGCTACAGTACCGTCCCAACTACCACAGCGTCTTGAGCTACTACAACCACGTGCTAGCAGAGCTTCAACAAGCTACCCCAACGAGATCCCCAAGGAACTCCCAGCAATCCGCCTGCTCAGGAGACTACAAAGCTGAAGGCAGCGAATGCTACTGGAGCCGGAACAGGTGAGACAACTTCGCCTACGCGGAGGGGTGGAGGCCAGCTGGCCACGACTGGGAATAAAGTTCCGTGTCGTTTCTTTGCGGGTGACAATGGATGTACAAAGGGAAGCTCATGCAAGTTCGACCATACGTTTGCGAGCAAGGAGGCAAAGAAGGCGAAATGTTGGCATTGCGGTTCGGTGAGTCACACTCAGAAGGACTGTCCAGTCAAGGCTGGGAAGGCTTCTCCGCAAAGGCCCTCGTCATCTACTACAACGATTCCTACTACCTCCCCACAGGGTTCAATGCCAACGACGCTCAATCAGGCCGCGGTGCAGCATCAACAAGCTGTCTTGGAATCCCTGCAGGCTTCTTCGAGCTCGGGTTCCCAGACGGCGGCTTCAACTTTGGGAGCGACCGGAACAACGGCAGCTATCGGTTCAGTACCTCAGCAGCCTGTGCCCAACTCTACGGAAGGAGATGAAAGAAAGGCACAGGAGATCACCGCTCTTCTACAGGAAGCCAACGCTATGCTCAACAAGCTGACGAAGTTGCAGGCCATCCAGGTGGTCACGGATACCAGTGTGCAAGCATTGTCGGCTCAGATGAGAAGTTTGGGCATAGATGATGATGAAAGAATGGCGTTGCTCGACTCAGGCGCTTCCCATCCCTTCCGAGATCGGGCTGAACACGATGTGATGCCGGAATGCCCGGTGAGAGTGGATCTTGCAGGAGGCCAGTCGGTAACACTCCAGCAGAACCAAGCAGGAACGCTCATGCCAACAACCACGGCCAAGGACCCACAGGATGTTTCAACTATATTGCCCCTAGGGGCACTGGTCCAGACTCTCGGGTGTGAGCTTTCATGGACGAGAAGGGGCGGCTTGAAGATCGTCCACCCTCAACATGGAACACTGCGGACGGTGGTGCGTGGAAATTGCCCGCTGATTGGGGAGACCCAAGCTCTGGACCTTATCCATCAACTTGAACAACGGAAGCTCCAAGAGTTGAGACAGGCTACAGCGGAGACCTTCCTCAACACCCTGGCGCTTGAAGAGGTGAAGGCTTGGGATGAGTTGTTTGCGACTTTTGTGCAGACTGGTTCCCGTGCCCACCTAGCAAGGTCTCTTGAAAGCTCTGGATGCCCACTTCAAGGTCTGGATGGAGCCTTAAGGTCTCTGTTATCTGTGGATGTTGACTTGGGAGATGAGGCAGGAAAGAAGTACATGAAGGCTCTCCCTGTTCGGCGATCACAAAGGCGTGCTTTGTTGACCAAGAGATGGGTGGTGCGCTTATATGAGAGAGAAGGCGAATCCTCAGAAGACTTCAAGCTTTTGGAGACGAAGGACACCATGGTCTTCAACGTCAATGTTCATCGAAGCCGGGCGTTTTCAATGAAGGGCAACAGTGCAGCCTACAAGGTTTTGGTGTGGGGTGCATGCAGAGGACAAGTTGAAGGAGTTGTTGGCGCCCCACCTTCGAATGATTCGCAGGAGCTTGGAACGAAGCAGCTTCTACTTTGGATGCTGGCTAAGGAAGGTGCTCGGCAACATCGTGTGTTGAGCCCATACCTGGCTATGACGGCGTCGCCGAATTCAGGCTGGTGGAAGTCAACCATGTGGCAAGGTTTTCAGAGAGAATATCAAGTTCCTGTTCAACAGGTTTCGCCGCATGGAGAATCCAAATGCTACTGTGTTGCAACAACGCTGGCGTTGTCAGGTGAAGATGCTGGATGGGGTCCGGGAGTACAGCCCGCAAGTGTGGACTGTCATCGATGGTCAAGGAGCTTTGTCACGATGATCGTTCAGGGAGCTCACCTTTGGAGGAGGAGACCGGAGCCGCTGATGTTATGCAGTGGACTCGCGAACACCGGCGAGATGAGCGCAGAGGAACTGCGGAGGTGGAAACGGCATGTTCAGAACGGACATTTGCCATACAACAGACACTGCAAGACTTGCGTGGAGACGGCGGCGACGGGGCGAAGCCATCGACGGCTAGTGGCGCCAAGTTGCTACAACCTATCGATTGACCTCGCGGGCCCTTTCAGGGTTAAGGGTGAGACGGCGGACCAAAAGGGTTTCCGATATGCTTTGGTGGGCTGCTACGTCATGCCGAAGATCGTGGGCTTCAAGGATTACCAGATTCCTGAAGAATGCGGTGAAGAAGGAGATGGTCCAGGAGGAGTGGGAGATATTCCGTTGGATCCGGATGACGACTTCTTGAAGGAGATCTACGAAAGGGAACGGGAGGTATCTCGAGAGGAGGAGGAAGGAATGAACCGGGCCAACGAGGAGTACAAGAAGTTGTTTGCGGACCTCAAGGACACCGTCGAGTACCAGAATCTCCACTTCATGATCCCCCTAAAGACCAGGACTGCTCCTGAAGTTGAGGCGGCGATCCGCTTGCTGTACGTGCAGCTCAGATCTGAAGGGCTACCACTACAACGTGTTCATAGTGATCGTGCACGTGAACTTAGGGGAGAAGGAATCAGAAAATGGCTGTTGGAACGGGACGTGTACCCAACCACTGGAGAGGCACAAGTGCCTCAGACAAATGGCAAGGCGGAGCAGGTCGTGAAGCAGTTGAAACGGCGTGCAAGGACCTTGTTACAGTGTTCGGGACTCCCTACGTCGTGCTGGCCATTGGCTATGGGACATGCAGCTTGGGCACAGAGGGAATGCGCACTTGAAAGGGCGAGCTCGGTGATTCCTTTTGGGGCCCATGTGAACATCAAGGCCAAGGTCTTTGGACAGGGAGGAAAGTTCGACTTGAACAACAAGTGGGACAGCGGATGTTTCGTTGGGCCCTCAACCGAGCTCCGTGGCGGCTTTGTGGTAAGAGACAAGAACGGGAGGTACTTGACTACAATGCACATGAAAACCAATGTTGTGGACGTTGATGAAGTGGTCAAACCTGATGAAGCAGAAGCTGTTTTACCAATGCCGTCGCGACGAGTAAGAAAGAAAACCGTGCTATACGAAGTACCGGAAGATGAAGTCCACCCACCAACCAGAGATTCAGCACCGGAAGGCTCAATGCTGGGTCCGACAGGGAAGTTCGAAGTACCTGTAGGTGAAGTTCACCCACCAACGAGAGATTCACCGGAAGGCACGATGCTGGGTCCATTAGGGGAAGCAGTAGTACCCGAACCGTTGGATGCGTCTGGTCTGGGTGTTCGAGAAGATCTAGAACCACCTCATCGGAGGGTCACAGGAAAGACTCGTTTGGCAGCGATGCTTCCTCTTTCAGACTTGGAGCGTGAGATAGAGGACCTTGCTTTGAGCTTCGACTTGGACGAAAGGTACGATGAGGCCGCCGTTTTGCAGATATTTGAGATGTTGGAAGGGACAAGGCCACAAACCTCAAAGGCAGGGATCCGGAAGTCAAAAACCCCATCTACATCCTGGTCTACTGGCATGTTCACACATGGTGGAGTTTCCGGCCTCAGGACAACGGCAAGAAGAATGCCTACTACCACAAGTTTCTTGGTGAAGGCCGCGAAGGAGATCACAGGGAATGATTGTTTCGGAGTGGTCGCTATCACAAGGGGCGCGAGCATGAAAGTCCATCGAGACTCCCACAACTGTCCCTCAACCCAAAATACATTGGCTGCGCTAACGGAGTTTCAAGGTGGCGGAGTTTGGATTCAAGAAGAAGGCGGAGGGGAATCTCGAGAAGTTTCGCCTGGTCGTTGGGTTGATGGGAAGGTCCATGAACTACATCCAGGAGAGCCTCTGTTCTTCAACCCGAGAGCGTGGCATGAGACACAAGATTATTCAGGTGACAGGATCGTGATCATGACTTACACCCCGAGGCTGTCGAAGCTAACTCCAGAAGGACGCCGAGATCTAGAAGATTTGGGTTTCAGAGTTCCAGATTGGAATTTTTCCAGACCTGCTCCAAGGCTCCAGCCGTTGATCATGAAGCAGGAGTACATTATTGATCGAGATGGATCGTTGGAGTCTTTTCCGGTGAGCCAAGAAGGGGAAATGGAACACATGGAGATCGATGGCGTGATGTTGCGGTTGAATGAGATCCAGCAAACAATGATGGACAACATGTTGGACAGATCCTCTTTCCTACAGGATCTACTTGAGGAGGAGGAGGAACGCTTGAAGGATATCCACGATGCTCAACATGAGTGCCTTCAAGATGTGAAACAGGTTCATGGTGAGATTATGCAGATGTTGGACGCTATGGTAGCGAAGATTCAACGTGAGCGAAGGGTCCAAGATGAAGTTTTCCTCAAGGCGGCGAATGTGCAGACGGACCACCAGGACTATGAGAAGCTCCTTGAGGATTTAGAAGGGGACTTACAAGTGACTCATACAGTGCCCCTACAGCAAGTGAAGCCAGTGGCGGAAAAATGGAAGAGTGCCATCGAGAAGGAGCTGAGCAACCTGTTTGAGTCCACTGGGACGCTCAAGCGGATCAAGTTGTCAGAGGCTCGCCAGTTGGAGGCGCAAGGAAGGCTCAAGCTTGTGCCGAGCAAAGGGGTCTACACCCTTAAACCCCCTTCATCCAAGGGTGGTGGGTTTCGAAGAAAGTACAGACTTGTCCTATGTGGAAACCATGTGACACCTTCTGATGATCAAGGCTCTCTCTACGCCGGCGGTGTGGGCGCTGAATCACTACGGGCGCTACTTGCGGCAACCTCACCTCGAGGATGGCGTGGGGCAACCACTGATATAACAGCGGCTTTCCTTCAGGCCATATGGCCAGAGTCGATGCCAATGTACGCGGTGCTACCCCCAAAGCTGCTACAAGAACTTCACTACGCTGAGGATGGAGAGGCATGGCTGGTTTTGAGACCACTGTATGGACTACGTGAATCACCCTCGATCTGGTCCTCTCACAGGAATGATCGACTTCGAACCCTTGATGTGCCCCATAATGGAGGACGACTTTATCTACAACAATCAAAGGCCGATGCAGAGCTCTGGTTCGTGATGTTTCAGAGTAAGGATGAGGCCCCCAGGTTAGTGGGCTTGGTTGTGACCTACGTCGATGACATCTTCTACATTGGTCCTGTGAAGATTGTGGAAAAGATCCATGGTTGGGTGAGTGCCGAATGGCCCTGCTCAGGGCTTGAGTGGGCGAGTGCCCCTGAAGGCATTCGATACCTTGGGATGGAGGTGTATCAAAGAGAGTCTGGAGAGTATGAGGTGACGCAGCAAGGCTACATCATGGACCTGATTCGAGCGCACGATCTACTACAGGCGCCGCAAACGCTACTACCATGCCCGAAGGAGTGGATCACAGATGACGTGGACCCAGAGCCGGAGAACTTCACGGAGGGAGACCTACGTTTTGCTCAGAGGCTGATCGGAGAACAGCTATGGCTTGCTATGAGGTGCAGACCGGACATTCACTTCATCGTCAGCTACATGTCGAGTTGGGTGAGCAAACATCCAATTCGCATAAGCAGGATTGCAATGCGTGTGCTCTCCTACTTGCACAAGACGGCCGGGATGAAGATGATCCTTGGACAGCCGGCGAGGTTTCCGGAGGATGACATCGATGACAGCAGGCAGAGCTCAAGCAGCCAAGGCAAGCAAACGAGCACCACAACAAACAGCCAGCAGCGCAACAACAAGGTTGGTGGTGGGTTTGATAATCTAAAAATAGTAGATAATGCATCTGCTGTGGCCATGTTGAATGGAGGATCCGGGAGCTGGCGAACGCGTCACTTGAAAGTGCGTTCAGCTTTTCTGCTTGAAAGGATTCAGAAGAAGTGGCTGTTGGTGGAGCATATTGAGGGCATGCTACAGAAGGCGGACTTGTCAACCAAAGTTCACTCGAAGCTTCGTTTGTGGGCACTTCTGAAACTGTGGAAGTTTGAGGGTTTGCCATCGGAAGCCGAGACAATGGTTTTGATGAGGATGCTAGCAGCGGCATGTGTTGCGAAGGCGTTTGAAATGATTCCGAAAGCAGAGGCGGCCTTGGAGGACAATGAGGTGTCTATGGTCTCTAGAGCTGGGGTGGATGAGTTATTGCTGTTCACATTGCTGGCATGCTTGGTTGCAGTGATGGTCTGGGAAGGATTGAAGATGCTATCAAGACGTGTTTGGACATGTTGCTGTAAACCTGGACGGGGAAAGAAAGCACAAAGGCTTAAAAACCTGGCCAAGGCAGCGGCAGAGGCAGAAGTTGATCGAGCATTCACACCCGAGCGACGACAGGAGGCCTCGTCATCGTCATCTACGAGTTTACCGAGGTTTGCACCGAGCAGAACTACTACGACGCAGCTCACAAGGACTACAAGTACCCAAACGCCGGACTGGGAAATCACAAGAGGACCGGTGCCTACAGTTGCGACGCCCCCTCGGGAGGCGCACAATGCTGCGCATGAGGACACGCTGTACGCAGCGTTCGATGGACCGTTTTACCGGTCGGAGCATGGAGACACAATCCACACTCGTGGGGACTGCTACGGTTTCAGACTTGCGACATCAAGAATCATTCAGCAGAGGTTGTGCGCATGGTGCAACCGAACAGATCCTGTGTTCAGGCGAAGGAATGATGCTCGGAGGACCTTGAGGTTCCAGAACACTGGATGAATCATTGAGGTTTTCGTCTACCAATTTGGAGATGTTAACACTGCATGCAGCTTAGTTGTGGAGCAACTTTGCAGCACTAGTTCCCTACGGGAACATACGAACCGGTACAGTACTGGTGACCACTTCCTGAAAAAGGAAGGGCCAAGGAGGAGTGTGGAAGCTCTGAACCTTGTGTATACCTTCAGATGCCGTTTGAAAGGTGTCAAGCATGCAGCCTTGGATATGTAAAGACCGTCTAGCTGCAAGGCCCTAGAGCTTGTAAAGTTGTGCTCTAGGTCGTGTACTGAAGTGCATCTCAGATTTCTTGTGCGGAAAAGTAAGACCTCGCTTGCGTTGCCCCATGGTTTCAATCCGATAAAATTGGAACGATACGTGAAGAAGAACAGCAAGGCAGCTCCGCAGGACTGGTGTCAGTCAACACAATACTATTTTGGCGGGCTCCTCATTATAACTCTACTATACTGGGCCCCAAAACCCTATTCTAATCACCAGGTAAGGCCCCTATATTCTAGATCCCCACTATACCTCCCTTATAGTAGCCCTTATAGGCCCCCTTTTAAAGCTCCTCTACACTTCCACGTGGGAGCCGATGTGCACATGGGGAGTTGCCGAAAATCGGGGACCCTAATAGGGGTTCCTTTACAGGGTGCGAAAGGGGTTCCTTGAGGGATCTGTAGGGTTTAGGGTTTAGGGTTTCCGAAAATAGGGGACCCTAACATAGTACCCGAAATAGTAGGATCTTTATTATAAGGATCCCAAAATAAGGTACGCCTAGTCATCGGAAACTCCCACGAAAAGTGCCCATGCCGACACTATGTTGAACTGGTTCAAGCCGTACTAGCGTGTAACAGCAATCTGGGTCTCCATGGGTGATTCACTGTTTAAGAAATGGGCAAGAGCAGGTTTGGGATCCGGGTATATGAGGTAAACCCTAGAACCCAGCTGCAAGGAGCTAGAAATGACGAATGCCCTGAAGACGGCAATGGAGAGCATCAAAAAGGACAGCTTTTGCTGGCCAAACATGTTGCATATTCGGGCGCCTGAATTTCGCAGATGGGATTTTCGGATTTCAGTGTGTAGAGTTTCTAGGGCTTGTGCCTTCAGGAGCCTTCGATCTGATAGGAATGATTTGTATTGGGTCTTAATCCCAGTGTTGGGATTACCCAGTTCGAATTGCCAAGCTTGTCCACTTTTCAGAGTCCCATGACCGCCGGCCCAGTGTTATCATTAAGCTCCAAACCTATAAACCTTTCCAGCTCAATTAAACCCGTCACGTTAAAATCCCTCAACGCTAGACTTTTGATCCCGAAGAGGGTCCTAAACCCTACAAGCTTTGAGCCAGTGTTCTGTTGCATTTCATTCCATCCGCCAAGCGCGGCTCTCTTCTCTTTGACACTTGCCAGAAGCTTCCTCTTCGTGTGGTTGTGGCGCGACTTGCTTGACAAGCTGGTCTCCGAGTACTTTGGTGAGGTCTTCGGAGGCCCTCACACGTGCAGCAAAGAGGCTGTGACTCGCGAGGTGCCGTCTCCCATTGGCAAGCGAATCCGAGGCGTCGTGACCAAACCCTAAACCCTAATTAACCCTAAACCCTAACTAACCCTAAACCCTAATAATCCTAAGCCCTATAAGTCCAGAGACAACGACCAAGGTTGTACGAAGGCTTTTGTCCGTCCGTGCAACTGACTTGGATGCCGGGAGGCGCATGGACATGAATGTGCAAATAGTCTGCAGCCGACCCGGTCTTTGGCGCACAAGCTGCTGAATGAGCGGGTCAAAGAAGCGGCATCCGACCAGAAGCCGTGGTTAATTAAGGTTTTTGTGCTCATACTGCAGGGGCCTTAATAATTAGAAAAAGGTTTTGGGGGTTCCTGAGTATAGTTATAGTATAAGATACCCCCAACCACTATTCCAAGTATTAAGGCCCCGATATTCATCCTGTTGGGTTTCCAAAGACCCTCCAGAGCCTGAACTACAAGCACTTTTTTCTTACTAAAGTTTAAGGATGCTTCCTTCATGTAAATCAAAGGTTGTCCTTCGGTGCGGGTTTCGTGGAACTCGCTGATGGAGGGCTGGTTCCAGGATAAGCTGTTAAAGCTTGTTTTAAGCACCTTAAACCCTTTAGAGCTGGAAGAGCCAAGAGCCTAAACCCACGAACACCGATATTGAATGTCTGAGGCAGCAAAGGCGTGAGACTTTCGCCGAACCCTAAGCCCTTACCCCTACACCCTAATCCCTGAACCCTAAGCCCTGAGACCTAAACCTGAACCCTAAACCCTGAACCGTAAACCCTGAACCCTAAACCCTGAAACCTAAACCCTAAACCCTGAGCCTTAATCCGTAATCCCTAAACCAAAAGCCGGCAGCTTACATGCTCCAGACTGTAGAGTCGGTAAGCAGTCAACAGGCTACAGCTCTACAGCACGAGCCAGACACGGTTGAGATTTGTGTGTTTCAGAAACTAGACGAATTGTTTATACATGTACACGCCGTTCAACAGTTGCCATCCCCTGAACGTCAAGCGTGGGATCGTGATGACTGAGTTGACGAGACTATTGCTTACAAACAGTTCCGAGGCTTCCTTCAACTTGAATCGCGACTTGCTCTTTCAGAAACTCATGGCACGAGGATATCCAAGATATTTCCTTGATGTTGTGGCCCAAGAAAGGCAATGGTGTCATAAGCAGTCGACTACTACATCGCGTGGTGACAGATCGTCGGTGTGTGTAGTTCCGTTCAAGTTGAAATTCAGTCCAGCTTTAGTTCATGTCAAGATCACAAAGATCTTGAATCGCCTGGCATTCAGCATTTTTGAGAGTGACAGTGTACAGATTAAGCTTGTCACATGTTTCCTCTCGAATCCAAACTTATTTCGAATGAGGTTCGCACGTTTCGTTTAAGTGATGTTGTGGGGTGCTCCCCGGGAAGGTTGGTGGGATTGGGGGAAAAATATTTTTCCCCAATATGTTTAGTGCTTACGTCGTTTCTGCGTGCAATCACTGAATGTACCAATGGTGCTATGTGTGATGTACGCATCAGCTTTTAGGCCCGATGAGTTCCAGGAGGAACGAAATGCATAGCTAGAGCTGAAAACCTGATGGTTGCTTGATCTCGGATTCACGTTTGTTTGACTGTAGAGTCGGTAAGCAGTCAACAGGCTACAGCTCTACAGCACGAGCCAGACACGGTTGAGATTTGTGTGTTTCAGAAACTAGACGGCGCTGACATAGACCTCACATCGCAGGACCCTTCTTGTGGGGATCACAAACAATTCGCTTAAACCCTATACAAACAGTAGGATCCTTTTGTGGGAAATCCCCCTAAGTAACTGCAGCACATCGTAGGTGCCTAAACCCTAACCCGTACATAGTAGGGCCTTTATGTCGGGAAACTAACTGCAGACCTCCCATGTTCAGGAGCTACAGAGCGAAGGCGACGGCGGCGCCGGAAAGGTGGGCCTGGGACAGAAGTCGTAGTTGTCCTTTCTCGAGATCCCGGCAGGGTAGGGTTCAGGGTTCTAGAGGCTATGGAGTTGGGATTTAAGGTTTAAGGGTTTGATTTGTCCGAATACAGACATGGACCGCGCTAGATACCTCCAAGCAAAGGAATAGGCTTTCGGGTCTTGTTTGTTTCCGTAGAAAAGCCAAAAGGCGAGAACCCCGCATCCGCTCCGGGTTTGGTTGTTGGGGATTAAGAGTACAACATTTACTAGGTATCTATTTGGGATAATGTGTAATGCCCCTGGTGGTTTATCATAGAGCCCTAGTTATACACATTTTTCTTGGGACTGTTGAAATCAACACCTAGCTTCAGACTCTCCCATTCCGGGTTGAGCTTTTGCCAGGTCGGTTTGTGTATCCTACTGCCTCAACCTCAAACCTTGCAACTATACATTGAGCGAGAAGCCTAAACTCTAAGGCCCAGGTCTAAACCCTAAGCTCCTAAACCCTAGAAGCCACAAGAGCCCACAACTGGTATACAGCCCAGACCTTGCAACAGTATGTTATCTTGATGCATATACATACATAGCTCGAAAGCTAGATAGGGGGCAGTACCCAACCTAAGCCCTAACTTCAAAATCCTAGAACCTGAGCCCTATACCTTAAAACCCAAAACCCGAAACAACAAAGCCTCAAATCCCTAATCCCTACGACCTATACCCTGAACCCTAAGACCTATACCCTAAACCCTATAAGCCCTAAGACCTATACCCTAAACCCTAAGAGCTATGCCCTAAACCCTAAATGCCCTAAACCCTAAACCCTAAGTCCTCTGCCCTAAACCCTAAGACCTATACCCTAAACCCTAAGACCTATGCCCTAAACCCTAAGACCTATACCCTAAGCCCCAAAAGCCACATGAGCCCAGCATCTTCTCAGAGACCCCAATATCCCTTAATTAAGGAATATTTCTTAAAATAATATTAGGGATCCTAGAATAATTTAAGGAATACTCCTGAATTAAGGGATATTGGAGTCTCTGGGTTCTCAAGCCCAGGGAGATGGAACCAGTCCAAGCGCGAGCGGAGGGCTGAAGAAGCAGCTCGGATACTAAAGGGGCTTCAATAGGCATTTACTGGGCTTTGGAGTACCATACTTTAATGCTTTTTTGGGACCTGGTACTTAAAGGGAACCAATTATGAAGACAAGTCTATACTTTTTCTTCCCTGGTCACTTCAAAGCCCAGTTTAAGAATTGTCGAAGTGTTTTAGAAGGCTTCGATAAGGATTTTAACAAGAAAAGAGCAGCATTATCGTTTGTCTGGTTTTGTACGGCTTTTGAAGTGCAATATGCGATTCTTGAAGGGACCTCAGCAGCATTGCCGTAGGATTGGGGTTGGGGGTTCCGTAATGGTGTCATATAGTCTAACGTCTAACTATACAGGGGGCCACTTGGGGCCAGGAGGGATTGGGCTTTGAGGTCTCTGCCACATTTCTGGGCCGGCGAAGCTTTGTCCAAGCTTTTAAAGCTTTATACAGGCTAGCGTGGCATTTGTTTGCTTTC